ACTCTTTTCAATAAAAGCTATTCGATGTTTTTTCTCTTCGTCATTGGTTGAACTCTACTTAGAGAAATATGTTCGTATCTATTTATTTCTAGGAGTAATTTGTATTACTAAAATAATGAGGAATTGTAGCTATGATGTAATGTGGGAAAATAAGCCGTTGGAGGCAGTGGGATAGTTTGGATGACATTCTCCGAGGAAACACTGGGTTCATAGCATTCATACGACGTGTACCATCTATATTAATGTTATATCGTACCTATGATCTATAATGGATATATCTCAATACTTATAAATACAGCGGAATATATTGTATATTGATTCACTGTGGTCTTCAACAGTGTGCTTGTCAAACTCCCTGCCTTCGGACAGAGAGGAACCCAGGGGAGGCTATGCTGAAGGGCAGTCTCACGTTTTTTACGGGGAAGTATAGGCTCGCTATGGGCTCGGGAGCCCACAATAAACTCGGACTTGTGACACATCCAACCGCGTGGGGCGGTTAGTGAATATCATCAATGTGGTCTTCCACAGTGTGCCTGTCAATGTGGTCTTCCACAGTGTGCCTGTCAATGTGGTCTTCCACAGTGTGCCTGTCAATGTGGTCTTCCACAGTGTGCCTGTCAATGTGGTCTTCCACAGTGTGCCTGTCAATGTGGTCTTCCACAGTGTGCCTGTCAATGTGGTCTTCCACAGTGTGCCTGTCAATGTGGTCTTCCACAGTGTGCCTGTCAATGTGGTCTTCCACAGTGTGCCTGTCAATGTGGTCTTCCACAGTGTGCCTGTCAATGTGGTCTTCCACAGTGTGCCTGTCAATGTGGTCTTCCACAGTGTGCCTGTCAATGTGGTCTTCCACAGTGTGCCTGTCAATGTGGTCTTCCACAGTGTGCCTGTCAATGTGGTCTTCCACAGTGTGCCTGTCAATGTGGTCTTCCAGTGCCTGTCAATGTCTTCCACAGTGTGCCTGTCAATGTGGTCTTCCACAGTGTGCCTGTCAATGTGGTCTTCCACAGTGTGCCTGTCAATGTGGTCTTCCACAGTGTGCCTGTCAATGTGGTCTTCCACAGTGTGCCTGTCAATGTGGTCTTCCACAGTGTGCCTAGACAGCTACCCGATCCCGTTTGTACAGTGTCTACTGGGAATTTTTGTCCGAGCCTACGGGCTCGGTTCATCCCACAATAATTTGGTCTTGTGCTACATCTGACCTGCGTGGGGAGGTTAGTGAATATTTTCACCGTGAGATTTCATTTGTGATTCATTTCTAGCAGTTGATTACTTACTACACGCTGCTGGCGAATCTTGCATGTTGTATAAATATTATCGTTCATTGACTTCTGCTATGGCAGTAGCATTTTTCAACGCTAGACGCGTGTTGCTATATTGCACTAGGAGTAGCAAGTTCATAAACTTCACTCTTGCGTTTTTCACCAAACTTCCCAGATCTGAATTCATTAAGCACTAATGTGATGTACTGGACCAGCAACTTTGTTCTGTCGAACCTCTAGCTGTTACAAGAGCTGTTAACATACTGGTGCCAGATTCCAGAAATATTACCTGCAGGTCTTGTTGATAGAGTCAGTGCTATTTCAAGGGCATAAAGAGGATTAATACCTTATTAGACAGGTGGTGATGTTTTGGCTTGTATTGTGTGGGTGTATACATCCAAAGGTAAAAACACTACGAGTAAAAGTGATACAAGTTAGCCTGTATTAAAAATCATTTCTTTGCTTGCCCGTACAACGTGAATTGCAGTTCTTTCGTTCGTCTGTTTTTTCAAATAAAAGAATATGCAAATTGTTAATTTCATGCTCGTCGATCAAATTTTCAGTGAGCGTTACAATCGGAAATCATCATCGGGAGTGATTGTGTAAACTAAAAACGGATACACTGAACCAACTAATGCTCCAGTTTAGATTTTTTTTTTATTATAATACGCCAAACAAAATCTTAAAAAAAAAGTTAATTGATGACTTACCACATGGTTAAAAATATAAATACTATTTGTTTTCTATCTTAAAAGTTCTTCAATATTATGACTAATCAAATGAGTCCAAATCGTCCAATATAGGATGAATGTCAAATTTCACTAGAGTCAAGGCAAGCACTTCATTGATAGCAGCTGAAGTAAACTATTTTTGTCAATATATTAAAAATTAGCATCGCCGATAAGCGCTCATGACTGGATACTTTTCCAAAGTACAATATTCGACATACATTTGTATCAATGGAAAAGGCTATTATCTCCCTTGAGACAAGAATAATATACTGATGTTTTAAGAAGCCCTTGAGAGTCACGTGACAACCCATAGACAAGAATAGTCAGTATTTGCTTAGTTGCCCACCGAAGACGATGCATTTCCCATGCATTCTAAAGAGGAACCGAATAGATATAGCATAAGAATGTACCATGCCTCTATTGAGGGCGTTTAAATTAAACCCTTTTTAAACCCCACTTCATATATTCATTGCCTTGTACTTTAATTTGTCTGTGTGGGACAATTTGTGACATACATATGTACTGAATGCTTAGTATTATGTTCATGCACTCAGCTTTTGTATATAATTTTTTTTTGTATGATTAACACCTGTTAATATAGTCTCGTTAAGGTGTTACCTTATCGCATATATACTAATGTCTTTAGAGAGCGGAGAATACCAAGATAATTTTCTTTTATTTCTTAAGCATCACGTTAAACTCTTGAAAGTGGTTTTATCGATATCAGTAAATGCTGAAATAAAAATTTGTCAGTATTTGCATTAAATACGGTTCACAAAAAAAGATAAATTCATTTAGTTTTTCTAGCTGACCTTCATTTTTGATGGAATATTTCAGAATATGTTTTTTGTTAGTTAGATCGTCAGGGTCTGTAGCAATGACGCGCCCAATAACAACGTCCAAGGTCGTATTTTCATCAACAGAGAATTGTAGGTTTTCAGGAAGTTTTGGAGGCTTATTTAGAGGAACGTGGATGTTGACTGTGGTAATAGCAGACCGTTGTGGAACTCCTGAATCCACAGCCTTTATTGAAATGGAGTATTCCTCTTGTAATGGAATTGAAGTAAGGTTTCCAATTAGGGTAAGTTCACCTGAAATTCAATGAAGAAATTATGTTTAATTTACTGATTTGCGTAATTGAAAATCTCGTTTCATACACATTTTTCTGAAACATTTTAACTTCGCTTGATGTAACACAGGGACATATCGAAGGGAAATCGTTTTGCGTTAGTCTTACACGTACATTAGTTTGGTACAAGAGCAAATATAAGGGGTTCATGTCTGAATATTATATTACGCAAATATTCTAAGCGGGGGTAGGTTGCCTACCTTTTAAAATTGAAGAATTTGACACATATGAAATACTGAAGGCAAGATGGGCCGACTGGGAAAAGAAAAATGGGAACAAAAAGGGCACCTGTATTTAGAATCAGAAAGAGACAGTTGAAATTTCTAGGGCACATGATGAGGAAAGAGTGCTTGGCGAATTTAACACTAAGTGGAGCAGAGGGAAAAATAAGCTACCTAACGAGATTGTGTTAGATGGCAGAGGAATAGTAAGAGGACAAGCATTGCCTAGAACGACAAAGGACAGGAAATTGCGGAGAACCATGATCGCCCACATCACATAAAATAATTTTAAATAATGGTTTTACCTGGGCTCCAATACCGACGAATTGCGCGCAAGGTGGGGGAATGCTCAACTATATCAACTATTAAACAGGTTAAACGTTGTTCTGATATGCTAAAGAATGAGGAAATTGTGTTAGAATTGTGTCTTATTTGATATACTGTTTTGCATCTTGAAAATCTTAAAATTGATAAGCCATGAATAAAACTTGAACAATTTCTTAGAATGTAAGAAAAGTTAATTTGAAATGCAACAGAAATGGATCTTTTATAATTATAACATCTTTGTTTTTCTAATACCCTGTACTTTTACGCTTTGATTAGGGGGTGACGTTATGTCACTGGTGTTTAAATAAAAATCAGTCTAGATAGTAAGCAATAATACTTTGTTGATTGTGTCGGGTAATATTTATAAGCTGATGTTAGAATAAGTATCTTTGCGTGTCGCATACTGTGGAAACCAATTCTTCAAGGGATGAAATACAATATAACACCGAATAAAAATCAGTATTTTAATAATAATTCAATACAAAAGTATGTTAAAATAAAAATGAACTCACGCAACGCTGTTATACTTATAAAAAATGTAATCTGTGCCCCATATATATATATATATATATATATATATATATATATGTGTGTGTGTGTGATTTTTGCGTAATATTTCTGCATTAATGGGAAAATCTATTACAGTGATCGTAACGTTGTCTAGTTTCATGTCGCAGTGATGTAGTAGACATTCTACAATGTTTATTCCCCAAAACCGAGTTAAATGACTCGGTATTGGTTTGTCGATCGATAAATCTTTAAAGTAAGGCATTTTTAAATTATATATATATATATATGTGTGTGTGTATTTAGGCAGCAATTTTTCATTAATGCATGTTACATATATATGCATGTGTTTAAGTGAACATAGAAGTCAACACTTAGAGGCGACAGTCTGTTTTATGCTATATGCAATCGTCAGGCCACATATGCTGTTATTTTTCTCGGCTATATATATATATATATATATATATATATATACACACACGGGTTAGTGGTGCATTGTGGGTATTCTATTATGGCGGTTATTTTACCGGAAGTCGTTTGTTTATTTATTTGGGTCAAATTATATTGCTTGTTTTTATTTTTTTGTTTCTTATTTTATTTATTTATTTATTTATTAATTAACGTAGTAAAATTTATTTATATTTACACGCTCTATCTCTGATATTGAGCACTATATTTCATAAATATAGCATACCTTAAGACTATATTTCTTATATATATATATATATATATATATATATACACACACACACAAGTACCATTTGGCTATCTTTAGGTGATAAGGAATAGCTAATAGTAATTGATTGTCAGGCTTATGAACATTCCATCAATGCCAGTGGTCGGTATGAGAGACTAGGATTTTGATTTTCAAAGCAGGTAGATAGCTCATAACTGAAAACTGGCAAAGAAAAAAGGTAAGAAAAGAAAGGGACAGAGGTAAGAAAGAAAGAGGACAGAGGGTAAGAAAGAAAGAAAAAGAGAGGGACAGAGGTAAGAAAGAAAGAGGGACAGGGTAAGAAAGAAAGAGGACAGAGGGTAAGAAAGAAAGAGGACAGAGGGTAAGAAAGAAAGAGGACAGAGGGTAAGAAAGAAAGAGGACAGAGGGTAAGAAAGAAAGAGGACAGAGGGTAAGAAAGAAAGAGGACAGAGGGTAAGAAAGAAAGAGGACAGAGGGTAAGAAAAAGAGGACAGAGGGTAAGAAAGAAAGAGGACAGAGGGTAAGAAAGAAAGAGGACAGAGGACAGAAAGAGGACAGAGGGTAAGAAAGAAACAGGACAGAGGGGACAGAGGGTAAGAAAGAAAGAGGACAGAGGGTAAGAAAGAAAGAGGACAGAGGGTAAGATAGAAAGAGGACAGAGGGTAAGATAGAAAGAGGACACGAAAGATAGAAAGAGGACACGAAAGATAGAAAGAGGACACGAAAGATAGAAAGAGGACACGAAAGATAGAAAGAGGACACGAAAGATAGAAAGAGGACACGAAAGATAGAAAGAGGACAGTGAGTAAAGAAATTCGATCGGTTTTTATTTTTGAGCAAATATTGAAAATGCGTTAACAAAAGACACCAAACATTTTTGCATACCTTCTTTTCATGTGTTCTTCTCATATACCAAAAATCACCCTCCCCTTTTTATTTAGCCGAAAGAAAATCTTGAATACCTGACAGAGAATCCAAACTGAAGCGGTCAAGTCCACCTCGCACCAGCGAATACATTATTCTGTTATTCTGCTCGTTGAAATCAGCATCAGTGGCTTTGATGGCAGCAATCCTTGATCCCAAAGTTTGATATGCTGGAATTAAGAACTCGTAATCATTCTTGTGGAAGACCGGACTGTTGTCATTCACATCTTTAACCTGAATTGTCAGTGTTCTGTTCGAATACAATGAAGTGTCTTCTGCGTCTGAGGCAACGATCTGTTCAATACAATTGAATTAGTTTCACTGTTGAGATTTAAATTTTGAATTTCTCAATCTGTATTCCGAAACTAAATTCTAAGCTCAAGGCATTTATTCCTAGAAATCAAATAAAAGAGGTACGAATAGATCCTGAAAAAATATTTTCCACTGATACTCTAGTGGGAAAACAAGACGCCCGTTACGAAGTTTAAACATTGCAGTTTGTTTTGTTTAATGTAAGTGTGTACAAAATTTTCCAAATTTAAAAATGAAAATTTAAAACACTTTATTCATACTAGAAATTCGCCACATTATTTAAATTATTCGGACTATTGTCCTCATCTTTGTCGCAATATTACAACGTTTCGGCCGTTGTACGCTCCGGCCTTCTTCAGGTGGTTGGAATGTCGAACTGAACCCTTTATTTCGCTTACTGGTGTAGACTTTCTAGTTCCAAGTTTAAGGGATGTCAGTTATCAGTTATCTCCTGTTAATTTTCCTCTGCAAGTTCTCTACTGCCTTAACCGGGTATCGAACTCACACTCTTGGGTCCTGACACTGGATCTAACAGACGCCTTTATCCACCGTGCCATGTGTCCTTGAGGATACATGGCACAGTGGATAAAGGCGTACAACGGCCGAAGCGTACAACGACCGAAACGTTGTAATGAATATGGTAATAACGATGAGGACAATAGTCCGAATAATGTAAATAGTGTACATAATACCACATCTCAGAAATATAGACAGACAGAAATTCGCCATGAATCTATTATATCTATTTAAAAGTATACAAGTTACTATTTTAATAAATGTGACATTCTTTAAATCGTAATTGTGGTTGAATTTATTTCTATGCATAAGTTCAACCACAACATTCGATCTAAAAAGTGCCACACATTAAAAGAGAAATTAACTGGCTTAGATCCTGAGTGTGATACTATGGAATCTTACTAAAATATAAATCTACGCCAAATATTTTCAAATATTTCCTTTCTTAAAAAGATATACTCCTTCCTCAAGTCAACACATACAACCATAAAAACTTTAAAAGCATTAACACCCCCACAAAAAAACAACTTAAATTCAAAACCTATTATTTATCAATGCATACATATATTTCTCAAAGTAAAATAAATAATTATTACATTAAAAAAAAAAAAAAAAATTCAACCATATTTGCTAGTTTTCACTTATTGAACATTACATGACCTACATCACTTATTCCCTGTAATTTACCTTGATTTTCACAGTTAGCCTGAATATTTATGAGCGTTCTTAAAAAAAAAAAAAAAAAAAATGAAAATCTAACGAGGTTTACGCTTCTTTTTAAAAATACTTGTATAATAAAATCCTTACATTTGCCTCGATATAGTCCACCAGAGGACGAAATACGTCGGTAAAGAAAAATGTTTTCCTTTTGTCTCTCTCATACAAGCTTTGATTAAACGCCGAATGGTTGAAACAAGAATAAAACAATTTATAACAATGTATGGCAAAGACAAATTTAATTTTCTTAATTATATCGTGACAAAAATCTAGAGAATATTGTAATATAAAAACGTTCAGTACACAGTAGAAAATTTTTTATATATATTCGTAAATATATTTATATATTATATATTCAAAAAAATAAAACGTTTAAAACACATTTCATTCCTTCTGTTCTTAGTCGCGGTTTATGTATTATTAAATAATGAATTTATTTTCAATAATTTCACCTCAAGCAAGGCAATAAATTCACCAACACATAAGCGTTTACAAATTGTGAATGAATGAGAAAAGAAAACATTCAAGAGAGAAAACAGGAAATTAATAGGAATTAAGATTACAAAAGATAATGACTCATTTTAATAACAACTGTCATTTTAAATAATACTTTTAGTAATACTTGCTATTTTTAATGATTATTTTATTAATCGAGAAATAAGGGGGAATGTATCAATATTTCTTAGCAGCTGTAGTTCTATATTATCAGGAATAAAAAAAATCTCTTAAAGATTTTATTTCTGATTATATATATATATATATATATATATATTCGTGATATACTGAATTCATGAGAATACTGTGCAATAATTACCAGATTAATTAGCGATTATCTTGCTATCAGCTAATTATAACTGATTTTATTGAATGATTTCCTACTTCAATAAACTGGAAAAAGAAAACATGAACTGATTAAAATCAAGCTGGTTTTTTTTACACAGACAAGATGAACAACGGACAGTTGGAATTCTACCCGTCTGTCTTTTCATTGATTAATTTTTTCTAAGCTATTTTCGTAATACATTGAGCCGCGAAAGAAACTGGCCGCTTATAATTTAATTACAAATTCTTGTGCCTAACAACCGATGTGTTGTGTCTTGTTTTTTTGGCGGAAGAGGCAAACACAAACATATCTAGAAAATAAGGCTTCCTGTTTTTTTTTTTTTTTTTTTTATAACATAGCTAAAATCTTGAAATATTCAAAGTTCTATGAAAATTTCGAACCTTCTGAAATCCGCTCATTAGGCACTGATGTGTGGACGGCCGTTAGCGTAGTGTGGGTTTAAATTCTTACATATTAAGGTGTTCCTTGTGACAATTGCACATATTTACATCCTTTGGCATGTATATCACTATCAGTCATAATCTCGAAGTGGCGGTCGGAGACGAGGAGGATTAGAACAAGTTCAGATTAGAGGGGAAGTGGAAGATTGGAGCCAGGTCGACGAGGCATTGGCGTGGAAGAGGTGGACCAGAGCCACGTCGACGAGACATGCGGAGCAGATGGAGACGCAGAAGATTGAAGCGACGAAGATTTTAGTTGGTTTTCCACGTTTGATGTTTGGTCACATATTGCCAGCGAACCAAATGCTTAAATATCCCAGTTTGCTGTTCATAATTTACAATTATCAACCCGTTCTTCTGTTAAGTTACTCATAGTTAAACGTAATATTAATCATCATTCATCCAAGAAATAAAAAGCTTTTTCTATCAATTTCTTTGGAGCCAGTCATTTCACGTTGGAGGCAGTCATTTTCAGCATCATTAGGAAAATTTAGTGAACAGGGTTTCATTCACAATATTTGTATTCGTGATGTGGTCATTAAATTTAATCAGATAAAATCGAATCAGATAACCAGACTAAAAGATTTATATTAAAACTTCTTGAAAATTAACAGTTTGAAGAATTTTTATACTAAGACTGTTCAAAATGTTACTATATAAGCGCAAGGATATAACCTTGAATAAATCAGAGAATCGTCTGTTATTTAATATTTAATGTTTATTAAATTTGTGTTCGAGTAAACTATCAAAAATATTTTATAACTTTTGACTTCAACTATTTTCTTCAATCAAATTTTAATGAAAAAATCTCGCAGTTTGATTTTTATCACGAAAACTTATCCTCAAAAGATTTTTTTTCATCGTGTTTACCGAGTTTAAAAATAACCTTTTTCTTATCTGTGTAATACCAAGATGTCGCAGTTTAAGATATTTTAAATTAACTTAAAAGCTAAGTGCTTGTATTGATTGTCAGACACTCAGAAAAAAATATCTACAATTATTTTTAAAGCTTAATTTGTTTTGTAATAATTCTGAACAGTTTATTGAATAAGAAAGAAAAAAAAAAGAAAGAAAAAAACAAAAAGAAAAAAAAAAATGGAGATTGTAAATTAATGGTTTTAAAACTATTAAGTTGGAACAAAATATCCTGAAGATGTACATTGTCTGATTTTATGGAATTTTCGTACATGTATGTCAATGTTATCAGAAAAAAATTGTCAATATACATTTTTAAAAATTCATATAAAATATAAAACGTACTCGTAAAATGATTCCCGGTGAGGGAAAGAAATTTTAAATAAAAATTTGTGTTTCAATTTTCGGCGAAAAAAACCGTTCATTGTAGATAAGAATCAAAAGTACAGACGACAACATTTTTGCAGGATGAAAAAATAAGCGTGACAACGGATTTCACAAGAGAATAAGAAGTGCTGTATAAACAGTTATTGATTTCTCCCAGACAGAATTTTCTGTATACGTACAACAGTAAAGAATAATTATATAGAACTATAAATTATATCAAGAAATTTTATTCTTTAACTGTAGCAGTTTCGACCTCAGTTACGCGACTTTTACCATCACCCTTTTAAAGATTATTTTGAAAAGGATGTTAGAGATTAATTTCATTACACTACAGACATTTCGTAATTAGACGAACTTTAATTAATGCGTTTGAAACGTATCAGCTTAATTCGATCGAATACAATCATGATCTTTGAGAAATTTGGATTTCAAAGGTTTGATAAGTCATTTATATAAGTGGGAATATAATATTAATCTGTTCGCTAGACACAACCAAAGACAGAATTTTCAAATTTGATACAGCTCAAACAAAGGTTTTAACATGAAAATATTTGTAACCAGTCGGTGGAAGGCTATTATTTCAACTATTATTAATGTATAGACAAGACATTTGTATATTTCGTTCCACACGAAATATATGGTAGACTTTTTCCCGTCTATTTTTGTTTCATTTGAAGCTTAGAAAAGATTAAATGCAATGTGTACTTTTGAAACCGGTGTTGTTAAAACTAAACACTGACGCACACGAATAATGGCAACTTTTTAATTGACAACAAAGCCAAAACAAATATTTTTTAGTTTTAGGAATATAATAAAAATAGTAATGGTACCTATTGATATATGCTAAATTATATAATTGAACATATATCAAGGCGAACAGAATTTATGCTATTAAAATGCTCGCGGTCAGGAGACTTTATAGTAAAATTGAATACTATCATCGCAAAACTCAAGGGTGGAGACAGATTTTACATATATCCAGCCCACTAAGGAAAAGAATACTTACCAGCTCGCCATGAAGGTAATCAGAAATATTTTTTTATTGTGTTTAGAACCATCTGCGATTCTAATGTTCATCTTTTATTGTGTGTGTAGCTAGTTCTAATTTTGAAAAGAATACAACATGAATAAAAAGGAAGCTACGTTTAAGAAATTAAAAGAAAATGCCCAATGACTTACCGTTAGATTGTATTCACATATTTCTTCACAATCAATGCGTCTATAATCTTTCACTCGCAACACACCTGTAGCAGGTTCGATTTCAAACTCGCTATTTCCCTGGCCGTATAGAGAATAGTCGACTTTTCTGTGATCTTCTAATATATCAGAATCTTTAACCATTACCTCGGGCGTCTGAAAATAAATCTTACATTCTAAATAAACGAATACAAAAGAGTTTCTTCTGTTCATTCTGACATTATTGACAAGATCCATTAATCACTTCCTTTCAGTTATTACTTATCAGAACGAATAAATAAAAGTTTATCGATATCTGTCTATATCTCTGAGACGAGGTATTATGATTACTTACATTATTGACATTCGTACTGTATCCTCATCTTCATTGCCATATTCACAAAGTTTCGTTGTACGTTCCGGCCTTCTTTAGGTGATTGAATTTCGAACCGAACCCTTCATTTCGTCCACCGGGGTAGATTGTTCTAGTTCCACATGTCATGCCTCTTCCGTATGTCTCAGTTATTTCCCTTTAACTCAACTCTCCAAGTTTGGTTCACCACTGTTGTGGCCTGCTACTGAACTCAAAACTCTTTCGGTCTAGTCACTGGTTGTAACCAACGACTTTATCCACTGGGCCATAAAGGTTTCGGTTCGAAATTCCAATCACCCGAAGAAGGCCAGAGCGTTTAACTGCCGAAACGTTATGAATATAGCAAGAAAGATGACTATAACAGTCCCAATAATGTAAATAATGTAAGTAAAAGTTTATCGAATGAAACGAATCTCTGTTCAAATAGTGCTTCGATTTTCCATTTATTTTTATCTCGTTCGATATCTCTAACGACCGAAAGACAGAAAATAGGGATTTTATATAACGTCAAATATAGTTGGATGCAGAATGTTTGGTAGCAGGTTTGGCGAAGTTGAGCGGCGCAAAACGAATGTAATAATAACTTTTACTGTAACCGTTAATTAAACTCTTATTAAAAAGATATTCCATGCTTAATACAAGGTTCGACAATCACATGAAACAACGCATCACAAGGTATAACCTAGATATCGTAACAAAAAAAGATTGACTTCAGTATCTCAAATAATTGGATTAGACAGTTTGTGACATGTTAGAGTATACAAGTCCTACTTTGAATCTAATCACAATACATGTAACTCAACTGACAACAACAGCCAACAAAACATCTCACATCCGCCTACATAAACCACCTAGGTTTGGGCACCTCAACGTGGTATAATAAGCAAGCTTGTCTCGCTAGAACAGAGTAGCGAGTTTGATCCTCACTGGGTGCCCCATACTTTCGACCTTGTTCCATCATAAATCATCTAAGTATAACACCCTTAAAAATGAAGTGTAAATTCAGAATCCAGTAATAAAGTTCTAATTGATATCAATGTGGCACCATGCATACCTAGCGAGCTGAAAAGAAATATTCATAAATATATGATTTGTTTTTTACGGTTTGTCAACCATTTGATAATTATTTAGAGCTGAAAAATATTTCGGGTTTTAGGAATAATTCTTTCTTTGCGTTCAAGCGATCTGGAAGAAGAAAAAGAAAAAAAAATAATACGAAAACAGGTCATAAGCGAGCACACACACGCTCGACTGACACATAACAGGTGTCGAAAAAATATCAGGTCAAGCACTTGACCTACTTCCGTGTCCTCGAAAAATAAAAGTTATTATCAATTGGTTGAAGAAACAAAGTAAAAAACAAATCATATATTTATGAATATTTCTTTTCAGCTCGCTAGGTATGCATGGTGCCACATCAACAAATATTAACAACGAGAGTCAAATAACATCTTCATAGAAACTCGTCAGACCATTCCAAGAATAACTGAAAGGAAAAAGATACTCATAGGTGGGCAATCTGGAGTTGAAAAAACTGATTCAAGTGTTGCGATATCAGTTGGCATCTGAAATCTTGTTAAAGGAAACATCTGAAAAAGTTTATGGAAATTGTTTTTGGCAGTAATCGTCTTGATAAGGAAGGTCTGCTAAGTGAAGTGGACCTCACAAGAACCATGTCAAACGACCTTGACAATGAGGTTCAACCGACTTAATGAATTAATTTTTTTGGATAAAAGCTGACAGGATAAAAAAACAAAAAAAAACAAAACAAAAAAACAACTGTCATCTATAAGACAATGGTCACTAGCGGTTAAAAATAGAGGATCGCTTACTGTGCGCACACCGAAAAGACTGTTGATCCAATCACATCATCTCGCACACTTTGCCTCACTAGTCTACAGTATAAGGCTACAACCGAATAAAATTTGCCGACTGTTACAATTTTGTCTCAGGATTTTATTTCGTGGGTAGCGATCTGCCGCAAGAGTTATTTTCCATGTATTCCACAAGCGTTCGACTGGAAGAAGCTGTCTCCGGAGAACGTACTTGGTGTCTGGTCTGAGCGGCAACGTTACACAAGAAACAAAAACAAACAGAAGAAAAAACGAAAGGGAAAATGCTAAACTACTAACAAAAAAAATAAAGTTAACTCTTTAATAAAGCAATTAATGAACACAAGCAGCAGATGTATTGTGTTAAAATGTAGAGAAAAGTAAAAGAAATCACAATAACATTATATAATCAAAACCATCATCGGGCACCTCGAGGCGGTGTAATGGTTAGCAAGCTTGGCTCGCTAGAACAATTACGACTGAGTAGTGAGTTCGATCCTCACTGGGTGCCTCCTAATTTCGGCCTTGTGCCACATCTAAGCTACGCTTGGAAAAAATCACTACAATCAAAACCATCAGATGAAATGGTTAAATACAAAAACACACACATTGAATCACATTTCAACCCTGACCACACTAAATATGCCAAAAGAAATAAAGTATATACCACTATACATCCAATCATTACAAAGTCTGTCTCCAAACAAACAAACTTATTGGTGAGGAAATTAAGAAAGCCATGATAAACTAAGGAAAAATAAAGCAGCACTTGACATTGAAGCTGAACTTTTGAAAATAGTTTACTTCCTCCCCGAATTCAATAAGAAGTTTCTCAATTTTATGAAAGAAAACTTGAATCAGAAATACATCCACAGTGGGTTTTATCACACATTAATGCACCATGGAAGCAGAAAGTTAATCCTCAAGATCCTCACATTACACACATTTCAACTGGATTAATTGTGGTGAAAATATTAATGAACATTATATTAATTAGGCTGTTATTGTTTTATGAAAGTTGAACTGATTCCAACCCAATTTGGCTTTCGTTGTTGTATGGGATGTAATGATGCCATATAATGCCACAAACACCAGGAAACTGCATAACAATCCATTAGAAAACAGTATACCTGCTATGTCGATATCACAGTAGCACCTGACCACATTAACTATGAGAAAGAGTCTTCCACGCTCCGAATCCACTGAATGCATCGATCTAATAGAGGAACTTTATCAATTCACAATATATGTCTGGTGAGGATCCCATTTCCTAGATTATGTTCTGTGCATTTACAAACATAGAAGCGAAGAGACGGACACTGATAATTTAAGCATTTCATACCACGCCATAAACGAATCGACAGAAGAAAATGATCTTTCCCGCCTCAACGAGACCAATGTACTGATGAATGTCATGAATGGCGCCAAACGAGATCAGAAAAAATCTAAACTATCAGCTTTCTCAAATCAATGGTTTAAAAATGCCCTCAAGCGAATGAAGCGCGTCTCTTTGATAAGACCATCCTTTTTCGAACCTTGTGGTCTAGTGTTACAGAATCATCAAAATAAAAGTATCAAAACATATCACTTAAGGAATTAAAATGGATAGCACATGTAAATCTAAAAAAAAAAAAAAAAAAAAAAAAAAAAAAAAAAAAAAAGAATCAAGATGTTGACATTCCACACTAGCCCAAATAAAAGTTTAGGAAGGAAACCCATCACTACTGAAAAGAGTGATAACAGCTACTGGACTTGAGAAACCTATTTCCTACGAAATTGTAAGAAAGATTTTATAAATTTTAACCGATAGTATCGTTGTTTGGTCAATGAATGTCAGATGTTTCCTTGTAAAGAAACAGTTAATTTTATCATTAACATTTTTTTGTTGAATAGGGGGGAAAAAATTGTAAATTATACTTACCAAAATGACAGGGTCAATATCCAGTCCTTCAGTGATAATTGCCACGTAACCGTTTTCACTCGTGAGTATTGGTGGGTTATCGTTAATGTCCAATACGTGGACAGTTACAGTAGTGGATACTGTGAATGATGGGGTTCCGGAATCAATTGCGGTTACTCCCAAATAATGGACAGTCGTTGTTTCAGCATCCAACGAAGAGGTCAGTGATAAGAGTCCAGAAATTTGGTCGATAGCAAAATGGTCTAAACATTGAAAGGAAAGAAATTGTTTTTTTTTAAAAGGCAGATATTCTTCTTGGTATTATTTTGGTGATATTAAAAACTTCAATGACTAGAACTTTGAAGAGAAAGTTTTTGCGTTGAAATATATTTGAGCAAGTGCTATATTGTTCGTTTTTGGAATTAGATGGATAAAGAAAAAGCCTCCTATATGGCAGTGAGTCCCAGAAAATCTCCTCACAGATGAAGATAATTGAAGCAACAGAAATGTGGTTCTACAGAAGGATGATGTGAATACCATGGATGACGAAGTTATGGAGGAAATTGAAATATAAAAAAAGATAGATGTACCATCTGGAAGAGACAATAATAATGAGGAAAGAGGGCCTGGACAGGTTGAAGGCGAAAGGACAGAGGGAAACAACGTACCTAGCGAAATTGTGGAGAGCCATGATCGCCAACGTCCTGAATGGACGCAGCACATAAAAGATGAAGAAATACTCATCTAGTTTAGCGGAGGGGGAGAGATATATTTCACCTCGCGTGATGAAGTAACTATATTTCATACAGGAGTTTATAGGTTCGACGCATTGCTTCAGTTCTCAAGCATTGTCATGAAATGAGTCGGTAACCATTTGAAAGAGGAATTTTCTAAGTTTTGAATGGCTGCTACAGGGGTACAGTAGTCGTGTCGTGTCTCCGGCAAAGTTCAGTTTTTTGTTTATCACCGGAATGGCGAATCCTCAGGAAAAGGCGTTCTGCGTTCACGAAAACAAATACGGTTGTCAGAGTGTAGCGTGCTTTTCGAAGGCAAGACATTAATCCGCCCTCTCCTAAGAACATTCGACGGTGGTTTAAACAGAGAGTGGATGTCTGTGTAAAGGAAAAGGTCCAGGACGACCACGAGTTTCAGAGGATCAAGTGGCGAGGAACAAGTGGCGAGAATCCGTGCTGCGTTTGAGGGGGGAGTCCACAAATCGAGCTAGCCGTGAGATTGCGATCTCTTAATTCACTATTTGGCGCGTGCTAAGAAGACGTCTACATTTGAAACCTTACAGACTACGCTTCGTTCAGACACTTACCAAATACCTTGCTCTTTGTGCTTGGCCTGTGAGATCCACGGACTTCACCGTGTGTGATTTTTTCTTGTGGGAATACGTAAAAAATCATGTTTGTGTTCTGCCGCTACCCACTAACCTCGATGACCTTAAAAATTGAATAACAACAGCGAACAGTTCAGTGGATTGTGATATGCAGATACGTGTCTGGGAGGAATTCTCTTATCGCATTGATGTTGCCCCAGCTGCACGTGGTGGCCACATTGAACAGGAAATAAAAGTTGATTGTGTGTAGAATACATGTAACTTGGCTGGAGTTTTCTATTGCTATTCGTTATTAAAACATTGCGTAATGAAATCGGTTCATTCTTTTTGAATAACTACACACACACACACACACACATACATATATATATATATATATATAAAATGGCAGCTCAGCAAGGAGAATAAAAAAAAATGTTCTTGGTATCTATGTTTCCGGTTTGGTTCAGTTACAAACTAGTTTATTTTCGTTTTTTTTTATTATTAGAGAAATAATCCGTGTCTTGATGACATTCAAATACGGTATGAACAATGCCAGTCTTACATGCCATCCAATACGACAAAGACAAGAATGATACAAAATCATTTAACAAAGAAGTCTTTTGTATTTATGTCTATCATTTTGACTGGCAGTTTTAGTAGCTCACTTAAGCAACGGATATTATTTATTAACTAGATTTGCATGAATGCCGCACAGTTCGCCCAAAGCATTGCCGGATTAACTTAGCAGAAAAAAGTAACAAAGAGCTCTGGCTCAGCATTTCCGAGAATCCTGCATTAAATACATTCAAGCTGTCTTATGACTTGGCAATGTTAATGCGTTGCTAACCAATCATATATATATATATATATATATATATATGGAGATAAGGGAGAGAGAGAGAGAGATAAGAGAGAGAGAGAGATAAGGGAGAGAGAGAGAGAGATAAGGGAGAGAGAGAGAGATAGGAGAGAGAGAGAGAGATAAGGGAGAGAGAGAGGAGAGAGAGAGAGGAGAGAGAGATAAGGGAGAGAGAGAGAGAAGGAGAGAGAGAGAATGGGAGAGAGAGATAAGGGAGAGAGAGAGATAAGATAAGAGAGAGAGAGAGAGATAAGAGAGAGAGAGAGAGAGATATAAGGGAGAGAGAGAGAGAGATAAGGGAGAGAGAGAGAGATAAGGGAGAGAGAGAGAGATAAGGGAGAGAGAGAGAGCAGTATCTAAAATTATTCACCATTTCAAGTAACCTATTGAGGCCATGAAATCTACTCAAGAGTCTCTTTAGAATAATCTACTTCATATTTGACCGTTTTTGTTTGCGTTGACAATATTTGTTTCGTGAGATCTATCATTATGCAATTTATGATGTAATATTTATGCGCATTAAAAAAAATCCCTTTCTATGCTACAGGCCTCGTGCTAGCTTAATCCGGTTCTGCTCAAATTGAAGATCTAAACACTTTACTGCGATAGATATCGAACAAATATATCACATATGTGAGTATCAGATTTTTAAGCCCCCTTCCCTCATTATGCATCCCGCAAATTTCAACTGTCATTAATTATTTACACTATTTACATTGTTCGAAGTGTTGTCCTCATCATTATTATTACATTCACGACGTTTCGGCCATTGTATGCTCTGGCCTTCTTCAGATGATATTTCTTGAAATTTCGAGTCAAACTCTTTATTTAATCTACGTGGAATTAGAAAAATCTACCCCCTTGGACTAAATAAAGGGTTCGGTTCGAAATTGCAACAAATATCACCTGAAGAATGCCGGAGCGTACAACGGCCGAAACGTCGTCACTTTGGCCAAAAGATGAGGACAGCAGTTAGAACAGTGTAAATAGTTACACTACCTTATATCAGAAATTTAGACAGACGTTTTTTTTCCCATCTTGAATAAAAGCGTCATTTTCGTTTCCGTTTTTCTTAAAAATGCTTGTTGATTACATGTTCAGTCCATGATATTCTCAGCATTCTTCTGTAGAACCACATTTCCGTAACCCAAAGTTTTCACTTCGTCTGTAAGGAAATTGCCCAACATTCACTGCTATATAGGAAGGTAATTTTCTAAGCGTAGCTGTGTGATGTAATGAATATGCTTACACCTGGGTTCCCCCTCACAGTAATATGATTGGCTGGTGTCAGCCATAAATACAGACTGATGTGGAGGTACATGAACGCCTATTGCCTACCACTACGACGAGGACCAGTCCATTACGGTTACCTGCTAGATTGTCCTACCCGGTTACATTAGTCAAAAACCACTTTGCTACTTCGAACAAATATATCCCTTTTCGGGACATTACTCTGCCCAGGATCGAACTCACTACTCAGTCGTAATTGTTCTAGCGAGATAAGCTTGCTTATTACACCACGTCGAGGTACCCAAAAGGATTTTCTAGGCGTAGCTTAGATGCAGCACAAAGCCGAAAGTGTAGGGCACCCAGTCAGGATCGAACTCGCTATCCAGTCGTAATTGATCCAGCGAGGCAAGTTTGCTAATCATTATACCAGGTCGAAGTGCCCTTACTGCCATAAAGGAAAACAGTTGAACACTTATTTTTGTTTCTAACGAATTTTTTATTTTTTTATGTTTCTTAATATTATAATTAGTTCATGGATAGTACGCCTTCATTATATCTCAGAGTAACAGTTTGAACGTTGCAATAAAAAAACAACTGAAATAAAGATTTAAAAAAAAAAAAATTGACAACGGTTCATATACAAAATTAAAAAAATATATATATTATAATTACTAAACTTCTATGTGCCATGCCCATTCTTCAGGACTTGGATGATTGTAGCTATTCATAATTTTCTGTTTTTTATTGATTGAAATAACTTATGGCCCCCTTTTATATCGCCCCGGTTCGATATCAGTTTATAAATATCAACTTATGTAATCAGGTATCTTCCAATTCTTGGTTGACAGGGAATTTTTTCAGAGTAACCGGGAAACAACAGATGATTCAATTTTTTTAATTGGATTTTGAAATCGAAAGACTGTAATATTTACAAAATTGAATTCGTCGATGTCTTGACGGATAACACTGACATTCTAGCATGAAAACGCCTTTAAATGTTATCTACTAAGCTTGGTATTTCTTGCACCAACCACAAGTGTTGACGTTACAAAGAGCATCGAATTTATAGTAAGAATGATCTGCAAATAAGACTTGTTAACTCCTTCCATGGTGAGTTTGCCTGTAAAACGTTAACTTGACAATGTGGTACAATAAATGTCGAAATTCAGCCTTAATAGCATACAGCGTTAAAAGCAAACTCAACGTGGATGCCGTTTCCTGGCTAACTACAGTGTGAGTGTTCTTCGTGAACTTGTTTTGTATGCTAGTGTGTATATATAAGTGAACATAGAAGTCAACACTTAGAGGCGACAGTGTTTCATGCTAGATGCAATCATCAGGCCACCTGACGATTGCGTTTAGCATGAAACAGACTGTCGCCTCTAAGTGTTGACTTCTATGTTCACTTTTATATTTACACACGCTCTATCTGATATTTGAGCACTTTATCACATAAATATAGCACATCTTAAGACTATATATATATTTATTAAGCGCAGCTTAGATGTGCCACAAAGCCGAATGTAAAGAGCACTCGGCTCGAACTCGTTATTTAGTCCTAACAGTTATTGCAAGACAATCATGCTAACCGTTACACCACGTCGAAATTTCCCCCAAATGTCAAATACAACCATCGTAGGGAGTTAAGTAATTACGGAATGAAAGTGTAATATGCTAATATCCATCCTAATCCCACTTAGAGCCATGAAGAGACAGATCTTCGGATTCCAATCATGTGGCAGTACCTCCCTCATTGCAGTAAAGCCGGTATCGGTGCCAGCATTACAGTGGTTGTGGGGATTGGACAAAATTATTTTTCTCCTACCCATATATCAGTGCATGGGCCACCTCACGTTAAGCAGATTGTTATATCCTTCATACTGGAGAGGCTAGCAAATACCGACAGTATTCTTGAAAGTAGCCTAATCGATAAAGTTTTCTTTAACGAATCTCAATTATTTACTGATTTTTTTCTTTAATAAAAAGAAGTTATTCAACGGGTGACTTTTTGCCATTTCCTTACCTGTTTCCCTTTGAAGAAAATATTTAATCCGATTCATTGAAGTTGAAAGAAAATCTGGATCTTCGCATTCGACATGCCCAACTATATAACCCTGAGACGCATTCTCATTTACGGTGAACTGGCTGTGACTTGATAGCAGGGGTGGCTTATTCAAGGAAACTGCAATAATTACGCGTGAACTCGACGAGAGTTGGGGATATCCATAATCAGTAACCAAAACGTCCAAATCATATTTCTCTCGCTGAGGATCATTAAGCAGATTTGAAATCACAGTTATCTCCCCTGAAACAAAAGAAAAAAATAAACAAGACTTCATGAATACTCAATTAAGATTTATCAAATTATCGCCATTAAACATTTTCTACACATGCATTTATAAAAGTTAATACGAGCGATTTTATTTTAGTATTTAGATTTAAAAAAAGATTTGAACTATGACGATATTCGAGTTAAATTGAAGTCGATTTTTCATTACCAATTCTGGAATTCACTTTTTCATCTTTTGCTTTTCAGATTTTAGACTGAATAGAAATAGAAAAAAAAAGCATTCTTGACGAGACTTAAACTAACATCTCGTATTTCAAGAACTAATCTTTCATGAACAATTCTTTAACCCGTTTATTGACGCACATCTGCGCCTTTTGGCATATTGTGTATTGCCTGTGACGCACACGTACATCGATTCCGCAATTTTAAAGCATTATACATAGCTATGGAAATTCACAAAACCAGTTTCTACTCTGCAGCAAGAAGCAGAAGTGTGCCGCGTAGGGGATTTCGAGTTGAGTAAACGTGGATATTCAATTTAAGTATTAGACTTAGATATTTCCGTTTCCTTCAAAGGTGGAACAAACATGGCGGTTTATGTCACGAAATACATCCGCTGATTGCATATGTTAGTCGACTAATAGTGCTAGTCAAGCAAAAGCAGGCGTATCTAACCCTTACATCAATGTTTTTGTTAAATAGCAATTCCTAATGGTGACCTACTTTGTTTTAGGAAATTAAATTTAAAACACCAAAAGATGGCGCTGTTGTGTGTCCTTATCACTGGCTTTGCTTCTCCATATTACTATGTGACGTATTTCGATATCATAGTCGGTTCTTACCTCCAAAACACTTCTCTCAAAATAAAATTCCACTATTCTTCAATTAGCTGCATGCAGTATGTGCCTCACCAGGGCTACGTACGGTTTTTGAATTAAGAATGATCCGCCTTCTAGAATCAAGGCTGAAGAGCCCAGTCTGCCCTACTATTTAATACATAACTGGCGGAGAGATGGATTCATAACTTTTCCAATAGTATTTCCACGTAAGTAAATGTCACGAACTCTACAGGGATTCCAACTCTGTTCTCAGATTTTTAATTCCAAACCGCTACCCATTACACCACCTGCACATCCAAATCTATGGATTGTAGACGTCTTGCCAGGGTGTTGCAATTTAATTTCCCGTTAGTGTATCTTCATTCAACGAAGTTATTTGTAATTGCTTACTAATTTACACTGCGCCAAAAATCAAAGACTTTACTTTATTATCTGCCTTAATTTTTATTATTGTTTGTTGTCACGTTTTCGAACTACGACCTTTCTATAATTATCCCTACAGATTGAAAACGTGATGTTAGCATTTTCCAAAACGGATTCATGCTCAGGCTACTCGCTTCAGTTCTTATGCGAAAAGAATGATCTTTTCTTGCACGACATATCTTAATTGGTAAGTTACGACGGCAGAGGAAGAGTGAATGGATGAGTAGATAGACAATCCATTCTGCAAAATCATCTGCCGAAATAGTAGCAGAAAAAAAATGATTATTTACAATGTTTCTCTTGATATATGTAGGCCTAAGAGTTTACTGTCGCTGCATATGGTGGTATGTTTGATAAGCGTTTACTCGATAAAGCAAATTTCTTTAAGCTATAAATTCTATTGAAATGATGAGTGAAACGCCGAGGATTATATTGAGGAAAACTGAATGCCAGAGAGAGAGAGAGAGAGAGAGAGAGAAAGGCAAAGGGCAAGAAGAGAGAGAGAGAGAGAGAGAGAGAGAGAGAGAGGCAAAGGCAACGCCAGAGAGAGAGAGAGAGAGAGAGAGAGAGAGAGAAAGGCAAAGGGCAACGCCAGAGAGAGAGAGAGAGAGAGAGAGAGAAGGAGAAGGCAAAGGGCAGCCAGAGAGAGAGAGAGAGAGAGAGAGAAGGCAACGCCAGAGAGAGAGAGAGAGAGAGAGAGAGAGAGAGAGAAAGGCAAAGGGCAACGCCAGAGAGAGAGAGAGAGAGAGAGAGAGAAAGGAGAGAGGCAAAGGGCAACGCCAGAGAGAGAGAGAGAGAGAGGAGAGAAAGGGCAAAGGGCAACGCCAGAGAGAGAGAGAGAGAGAAAGGCAAAGGGCAACGCCAGAGAGAGAGAGAGAGAGGCAAAGGGCAACGCCAGAGAGAGAGAGAGACAGGCAAAGGGCAACGCCAGAGAGAGAGAGAGAGAGACAGGCAAAGGGCAACGCCAGAGAGAGAGAGAGAGAGAGAAAGGGCAACGCCAGAGAGAGAGAGAGAGAGAAAGGGAGAGCCAGAGAGAGAGAGAGAGGCAAGGCAACGCCAGAGAGAGAGAGAGAGAGACAGGCAAAGGGCAACGCCAGAGAGAGAGAGAGAGAGAGGGCAAAGGGCAAAGCCAGAGAGAGAGAGAGAGAGAGAGAGAGAGAGAAAGAGAGAGCAAGAGAGAGAGAGAGAGAGAGAGAGAGAGAGAGAAAGGCAAAGGGGCAACGCCAGAGAGAGAGAGAGAGAGAGAGAGAGAGAGAGGCAAAGGGCAAATGCCAGAGAGAGAGAGAGGAGAGGCAAAGGGCAACGCAGAGAGAGAGAGAGAGGCAAAGGGCAACGCCAGAGAGAGAGAGAGAGGCAAAGGGCAACGCCAGAGAGAGAGAGAGAGGCAAAGGCAAGAGGCAAAGCCAGAGAGAGAGAGAGAGAGGCAAGGCAACGCCAGAGAGAGAGAGAGGCAAAAGGGCAACGCCAGAGAGAGAGAGAGAGAGAGGCAAAGGCAACGCCAGAGAGAGAGAGAGAGAGCAAAGGGCAACGCCAGAGAGAGAGAGAGAGAGAGGCAAAGGGCAAGAGCAGAGAGAGAGAGAGAGAGAGAGGCAAAGGGCAACGCCAGAGAGAGAGAGAGAGAGAGAGGCAAAGGCCAACGAGAGAGAGAGAGAGAGAGGGCAAATGCCAGAGAGAGAGAGAGAGAGAGAGGCAAAGGGCAGACGAGAGAGAGAGAGAGAGGGGCAAAGGGCAAACGCCAGAGAGAGAGAGAGAGAGAGAGAAAGGCAAAGGGCAACGCCAGAGAGAGAGAGAGAGAGAGAAAGGCAAAGGGCAACGCCAGAGAGAGAGAGAGAGAAAGGCAAAGGGCAACGCCAGAGAGAGAGAGAGAGAAAGGCAAGGGCAACGCCAGAGAGAGAGAGAGAGAGAAAGGCAAACGCCAGAGAGAGAGAGAGAGAAAGGCAAAGGGCAACGCCAGAGAGAGAGAGAGAAAGGCAAAGGGCAACGCCAGAGAGAGAGAGAGAGAGAAAGGCAAAGGGCAACGCCAGAGAGAGAGAGTGAGAGAGAAACAGAGAAAGGATGAAGGCAAAGGTCAACCAGATAGTGGCGGGAGGGGGAGACAATGTGGTAGGGAAGTATGAGTGTAAGGAAAAGTGCCACGGGTGTGTGAGAAGACAAAGTGGCATTGGTGAAGGAAAGTAAGGCAGAATGGGATGAAAAAGAAATAGTAAGCGGAAAGGAGAGTGTGGCAATGCAACTACACCAACCTCTGAGCAGCATAGGAAAGCCAAGATGAAACTGAAAAAAGTGTGAAAGAGCATTTCTAATTTCCTTTCTATTTTTAGGAGAAATGTCTTGAATATTAAACGCAATATAAGTTAAGAGAGCAAACAATGTATTGCAGCTAAAATGAATGCAGGTGAGAATAAAAACTATAAAAAGGTGGAAACAAACATGACGTTTTGGCAAATTTATCGGGAAAAGTATTTAAAAATGTTCAACAGAAGAACAATAGTTTTGAGATGTAGAAGAGTGCACAGCTACGATCTATTCCGTTTGGTCAGAAATCTTCAAAAAGGTCAACCATTTTCTCGTTAATGACAAACAACATTCAGAAATCGAAGAATTTCAAAAAACGTATGAGCATTTTGCTGTTTTAGTCGTATAAAAATTACACAATATTGAGCGGTAGCCATATTGAAAAACGCAGGGAAATTTTTCTTCCGAATTTATTATTTTCGCAACCATTTGACTGAAATGTTTCAGAGATGAATGGAGATTATGATTATCAATATTATTGCTGATATTAACGGCTATGGAAAACCCATTGATAATTAATCATTTCGCACGAAACTAACTTTTATAGTTATTCCAAAAGAAAAACAAACGCTGGAAAAGTTATTCAACTCTGAAATGTCTGATAAATAAGCTCTTAAGCGATTTAAGATCATTTTATATCATTAAAACGAAAACATTACAAGATCCTTTAAAAGAAAATTACGGAAACAGATTGTTTAAAAGAATGTGTGTAAAATGGTTCCCTTTTGTTAAAATGTTAACTGCATTATAAATTTAACTGCTTATTGGTTGGTTGGTTGGTTTTATACAAACAATAGTCACATTAGTATTACTTGCTGGAAACCTTTGTTCCAAGTTTGGTTCAGTATTCTGAATTGTAATCTTCTGGTACGAGTAACATTAAAAAATGAATATATACTCCCCCAGTAGAGCGTTATATTAAAAAGTAGATTAGTAACCCCTACTCGACAAGTGGTAATTAACTGAATAATTTTCTATCTTTGGGATTAATATTGATCAGGAGTAAATTATATTGACAATTTGTGTGTAATAAATGTATTATCTTTACGCTGGTATTGACTCGTTCCTCCACTAGAACAAGATGTGACACAAGGTCGGTTTAATGTGGGGACCCGAGCGCGTACACCCGGGTAGGGACAAAAATTCCCCTCAGCCCCCGCAACCGTCGGTTGCGCAGGCCTCGGTGCGAGCACCGATCCCTCCCTCTTGTGCAATGGGAGGGCGCGGCCTCGGCAGCTGTTCCCCAGGGCTGGGCACCTCTTCAGTATAATTTTCCTCAGTTGCCCCTCTGTCCTCTGACAGAGAAGCCCCTGAACGCGCACTGTCCAAGGACAGAGACGCAACTGAGAGATGATACGTAATGTGCATAAAAGTAATTTACGCATTATTATCTTTACGCTACACGCTTACTGATTTATCTGTTTTATTTTAGACTTGACATTACAAAGTAAGATTTTGGAGTTATGAATATCCTATTCATAGTAGTGTTTTTATTTCGTAGGGAGGATGTAAGCACTGAAAAGTTCTTGACAAAGCCAAGAAGGGAATTACGTTGTGAAAGGAAATGTACATGCTGTTCAACATCGATTTTGCATTTTTTTTTTTAACTCAAAGAAAAAAATGCTAATTGAAATACTAATTTTTAGTAGTAGGTTTTTCCAGATCCTTTCGTTTTAGCATTTAAAAACAAATTTAATGATTTTATGATTTGCCGAAAGAAATGGCGAACAGCTATTTTGTAACAAAATTAAGTTCGCTTAATGTTGGAGCTGGTTAAGCTAGATACTGAATTCTTTAGCAAAGCCAAGGAGTGAATTTAGAGTATGCTAATATCCTTTTGGCTTACACGTCATATCACGTTGAAACACCGGTTCTGGCTCGATCACCGAAGTTAAGCAATGTCGACCCTAGTCAGTAGGTGTGATTGGTTGAGAATACCAGGCGATTTAAGCTTGGGTGTGCTGGTAGTGCAATGGATAAATATGTTTTCTGCACTTGTAAGTCGCTGTAATATTTCTTGTCAAAAATTGCTTTCCGAAATTATATACATTTTAAAGACTTAACTCTGTAAATGAAGATTGCGTTGTAAATGAAAGGCAGTCGTACTACCGCTGAGGAAAAATATATTAAGAGTTTATAACTGTGTCTCTCATGCGTTTGTGTGTGTGTGTATATATATATATATATATATATATATTGATGCATGTTTCATTCAATAATATAGACAAGTTTTGTCTATTTATTTTAAGTCAGTTCATTTCATATTGTCTGATAAGCTTAATAACATTATCATTGAAAGACGAAAGAAAATCACCATATTGATACATATTTTAATCATATCTAAGCTTTCGGCTTACATAAGCCATTATCAAAGATGACAATTACATTTCAATATATCAAACACTGCACGGACAAAACAATAATGATTGTTTTTGTTGCATGAAAGATTTCAAAGCAACTATATATATATATATATATATATATATATATATATATATATATAGAGATATATAATAAAAATTGTTGAAATCGCTACACAAAAGCTTTCATGTTTCAATACTATGATTGTACTTCTTCAGGCGAGGACATAAGTTCAGAATTAAAATTAGACTTGTGGGTATGTTTTGATTAACCAATTAAATGTCAGATTTACGCTAAATAGAAAAGTAAAAAAGTAATATCGTCAGCGAGTAAAACACATTGGTTGAAAAGAAATTATTTTCAACAACTTAAATAATCAAGTTAAAATATACCTAAACTTGGGGAGGTTTTGGTCTGGTTTATTTTGTTTAACGGTATATCAACCTCAATGGGTTATTTAATGCCGACAGCATTTTAGGATAAATTCGTATGAATAGAGTATGTATTCTTTGGTTTAGATTGGTTTGGTTTATTTTGTTTTACGGCATATCAACCTCAATGGGTTATTTGATGCTGACAAAAAAATTTATTGCTGGTAATATTTTGTTTTGTCAAAAATCTGTTTCTGGTAATATATTTCCTTCAAAATTGTATTACTGGTAATAATTTTTTTCAAAAAAGTATTGCTGGTAATAGTTAACTATTTGCCCATAGCTGGGAACCCAACAGGTGCTACCACCCCGGGTCAGGGTTAGACGTAGTTTAACGTCTTAACCAGGACGAAAACTTGGAGAGGGAACAAAAAAGCACACACAAAACTATTTTCCTAGTTAGGCATTTAATTGGCGACAGGCTCCCCGAATAAGGCTAACTTGTACTTTAATTATCTCTGCCTACACAGGACAGGGCGTTTTATATTAATAACAACCGACTGTGTCAGTGTCCTGTGCAAAAAAAAAATTCAGGAGAATAGTCCATTCTGCAAGCAACAGAATTCAATAAATGCTCGCCGATAACGAAGCCACACACCTGTCTACGCACCTGGCCCGGAACATGCTGGGCAATCCTAACCTCTAACTGCTGAATAGTCTTGCCCACATTGTCGATCTCATATCGACATTTATACAGATACATAACTAAACTCTGCTGATGGGCAGACAATACATCCTTGCGGACAGAGGAAAAAAAGCCCTTGTGGTTCAAAAAAATGCTTCGGACCAGTACGGCATTAAAATACCGTTTGATGGAAGAAAATGTTTTGGCGGCGTATGTTTGACTCACGAGACCAATTAACGGTAGTCTAACATATACAGGGTATTTAGGGGGCCATATATATTAACTTCATTGAACTTAATTTTATATTCAAAACTGTCTTTCTAGTGCCTCCCCTTCCTCTACTACAGCCTAACAAAAGGGGACGTAACTCCTACTTATGAAATATTACAGATTTAAGCACCATAAGGAGATATCAAAAAGTCGTATAAAAAAAAAAATCACAAATACACACACACGTGTGTGTATATATATATATATACACACACACACACACACACACACACACGTGTGGGTATATATATATATATATATATATATATAAAACAGATGTAATAAGACTGGTATTTGTTCAAATTAAAATTAATTTATTTTCGGCGAATTCCGTAGTTTTAAGTGTAAAAGATTTTCAATTACCGATACACAGTATCAACCTTAAATTTCGAGCGACCCCACCCATTTGCTAAATCAGAAAAGTAATATAAATTTAGATACCTAAAATAACAGAAAATATTCTTTATAATTCATATCATACTGCATCTAAATGAAGCCTATAAATTTGTTATATTCCCATCTATACCGTCTAAGACATTTCAGTTGGCAGTTGGTCTTTGGACATGAAATGGTCAAACTGATCGACGCTCGATAATGCAAATAGTGAGCGTAATTAGCCATAAACCTTTATTTTGCAAGCAAATTCTGCACGCAAGCATAAAATTTCAAAGTATCTTAAATTCAACTGCTTTTTATCGCAACTCACAGAGTCATTTTACAACCATAAGTAAGCAATAAAAAAACAACTGAAATTAAGAAATATTATATTTGGTTGTTGTGGACATTCTCTTGTCTGTTAGTTTTTTGTCCAGCCATATAAACTCCGGTCTTCCTCGGGTGTCTGCTGTATTATTGGATATTATCTTGTTTTTGTAGAGCATACACATCACCTCTCATAAGTCACGCCCGCTGCTTGCACCTCTGTACTCTTGGGATTGTAATTTTAACGTATAAAGACCCCCCCCCCAAAAAAAAAAAAACAACAAAAAAACAAACAAACGAAGGACTACAGATTCCATCGACATGGCTCAAGTGTAGATCTCGATTACGAGTCCGGTAACCCATTTGTGTCGAAGGTTACCATGTATATTGCAGGCAGCGCAGCAATGGATATATCTGAGGAGCTTATCGTCTAGGTTGGTATTGAATTCACAGTTATCCACCTTGACTGGCTTCCCTACCACCGCTAAAGAGCTCATTTTACTCTTAATTAAGAGCATTTGAATTCAGAGTTTTCCCTCATTTTGACTGGCTGTCATGTTATACAAGATAGACCAGTTTGCATTATTTTAACCCATAGCTGAGGGAAGATGGATTCATGCCTTTTCCAAGGGTATAAATGAAATGTAAACGAAACGGACTCCAGTTCCAGGCTCCGCACCAATAACAATCATGCTACACGCGTATCCTCAAATGAGAGCGCGGGAAGCAGGAAATTCCAAATTTAGAGCAATGTCAGAGAAAAGACGTGTATGAGAGGAGCTACATATTAAATAACATTCCAGAACAACACAACTGACACTTGAGGAAGGTTGAAGAGTATGCGGTCAGAAAAAAAAAAAAAACAAAAAAAAAAAAAAAAACAATATAAAGCAGACGAAACTTGCAGACACAGCGAAACGCATATTTTAGTTAATCGCCAAAATCCTTCAATACATACCGTCGAGTGAATTCTCTGAACCAAAAACCATAGTCGGACAGAAAACGGATGGCTGATAATGAAGGCATCATGGTGGCAAATACTGTCCTTGGCAGCCATGATGAGTGGAGGCCTGCTGATGGATGAAGTGGCCTGAAACGGGAAGTCAGGTCATATCTACGGCAAAACCATGCAAGCTTTCGCTATCAACATGACAGCACTGTCTTTCCGCCATACAAACCACATATCTCGTACAAGACAGCATCCATAACTTTTTTTTTGCTTTACTTAGAGCTTTTATCCGAAATGTATCTTCTTTCAAGACATTAAGTTAGTAATGCCTTGCATGTCAAAACAAGTAATTTACGTTGAAAGATATACACAAAAATAAAGGTAAAATCTATATCAGAGGGCAACATGCTGTTATATTTACAATATAGGTAAATTAATGTTTTTAATTTCCTTTTTAATACGAGACTGTCAACAACACGAACACAAAATGTTTCGATATTTATCAAACATACCAAACAGAAAAAAATTAGCCTAATGGTCAAAGGTGTGGAAAATTAGCCTAATGGTCAAAGGTGTGGATAATGGAATCTGCAATCCAGGTTCATGTTCTGACCGGGACGGCTTGTGCATTTTGTAGCATTGCCATTGGAAAAAGCATAGGTTCATGTCTTCTCCTCAGCAATGAATAAATTACCATTTTTTTAAAAAAATCATGCTTAGTAACTAGTCTAGGAGAAAGAGAAATCTGAATTAAAATAGTAAGTCCAGTCTGTAAAAACCTACTTGCAACATCAATCCTCTTGCGTGTATGATCTTTAAGAATCAGTGGGGAGCAACACATGAAAAAACTAATTTTTATTTCCATATTTATAGTAGAAGTTAAAAGTACAGTAAACATTAAAGAATAAAGTAAATTGCATCATACACAATTGTACTTCTAAAATCGTATTTGCAAGTAAGTTATTCTCAAAATATCGTCATTCTGGAGTTAACAAAAAACCAACATCACAGTCCTCTAAGAAAAAAAGTGAAACAAATCCTTCCCCCTAAAAAAAACAACAAAAAAACAAGCAAGCAAAAACACGCAAAAACACAAAAAAGCAAAAAAAAAAAAACACACACACAAAAAAGCAAAGAAAAAGCACACACAAAAAAGCAAAAAAAACACACACACAAAAAAAAAAAAAAAAAACACGAAAAAAAGCAAAAAAAAACACACGAAAAAAGCAAAAAAAAAAACACAAAAGCAAAAAAAAAAAAAAAAAAAAACACAAAAACAAAAACACACACACAAAGCAAAAAAAAAAAACACACGCACAAAGCAAAGCACACAAAAAAGCAAAACACACACAAAAAAAAAAAAAAAAAAGCAAAAAAAAAAAAAAAAAAAAAAAAAAAAAAAAAAAAGCAAAAAAAAAAAAAAAAAAAAAAAAAAAAAAAAAAAAAACACACAAAAAAAAAAAAAAAAAAAAAACACAAAACGCAAAAAAAAAAAAGCACACACAAAACGCAAAAAAAAAAAGCACACACAAAACGCAAAAAAAAAAAAAAAAAAGCAAAAAAAAAATAAAAAAAAAAAAAAAAAAAGCACACACAAAAAAGCAAAGAAACAAATAAAAAAAACATGCTGCAAAAACGACAAAAACAAAAAACTGAAAAGCATATCATCCGAAAAACATATACAGATACCCGCACCTTAAAAATGTAAGGTGTGAGTAATTTTAGGAAAAAAGTTTTAAATAATGCACATTACGATTATTCGAAAAACAGATAAAATTTGAAACTGCACAATCGGGTTAACGAAGAAAGTAAGTTTTCAGTTGTTGCATCTTCTGAAGAGTTTAGCCAAGTTCTCATTCATCATTCTCAGTGGCATGCCAGTGAGTAGACTCATTCAATATATTTAACGATGAGAGAACACATGGAGATGAGGATTCATCCTTTTTCCCAAAGGCATTAGTTCAAAGTGAACAAAAATCACCGTAACTGAGACTAGACTTCCGCTCGCTGACACTATTCCCCACTTCGATAAAATAATATATATTGTCCGCATTAAAACTTTCAAATTATAAAGGAAATTATTTCCCAAATGATAGACTATACACTGATGAACCCAAGCATTTTAACAAATATGTATGTAGCGAGAATAACAGTTATCCTCTTGTAATATCTGCATAGCTCATCGACGAATGCGAGGCATAAAATAAAAAGATTTGAATAACAGAGAAAGTCAAATTGTTAGGGAAAAAATGACATTGCTTGTGATAATGCTCACTTTTTATTGCCATAATTTTTTTTTTATCAAGAATTGTACTCTTTATTCCTAACGGGAGTTATTTTTTCGGACTGAATACTGGCATATCTGTAATAGGGAACTGAATAAGTACAAGGTCTATTCCTCACCTCTTCAATCGATTTGAGGTGCTATCATCCTCTGCTGATAAAGCTGAATGCTTTGCCCGTAAATTCTCTAACTCTACTCTTGATTCATCTGGAGTATTCCTGCCTAACTTCCCACTTATAACTGATTCTCTGTTGAGTGATAGGCATATAAACCCTTCCATAGTTTCTGCTATAATCTCTCATCTTGATCCCCACAAATTATGTGGACCTGATGGCATCCCTGTTATAGTAATCAAGAAGTGCACTCTGGAACTAGCTCCTGTCCTAAACTGTATAATGAATGTCTTGCTGCCTCCTGCAAGTCACCGTCTGTTTGCCTCTCGCTTTCATCAGCATGTCCGATGCTATCCTCCAGTAAAGCGACACGTTGAGCCTTCACGGGATAACGTTCTCAGCTGAAACGAAGTGAAAAGACTACATTGGATCTATCACTAGATCAGCTGATAAGAAAGTTTACTGTGCAGAGAGAGACTTTTTCCTCTCCGGAATCTATCTTGCATATCTATAAGCCTACCATTCGTCCATACTTAGAATATTGCTGCCATATGTGGTTTGGTGCCCCTGCTGTTTTCCTGAAACTCCTTCATAAAATTCAAAGAAGAATCTGCAATATTATTGGTCATGATCTGGCGGCTCAACTTCAGTCACTCACCGCCATAAGCTTGCCTCTCAGTGGCTTTTTTAAAAATAAATACTTTCATGGTAATTGTTCGGATGAGCTCTTCACTATGGTACCTAGACTGCAGGAGTTTGAGCACAATACTAGATTGGCAGCGAGATCACATCAATTTGCAGCCGTAACATCTATGCTGAGAAATCGCTATATACTATCTTTCTGATCATTACTAATGTTTCTGCTCCTAACTCATCCTCACCCTGTAACACCTTGTTTGCTAGTAGTTGTACTGCTTTGCTTGGGGTGATACCGATTAAATGAAAGACGCAAAACACAGACGAAAGACGCAAAACACACAAAATATATTTTTAAACGAGCAATTGTTTATCAGGTGAAACAGTTTTACAGATTTTTTAAAGAACACACCAATATATTCATTTTAATTAAAGAATAAAAACTTATATGCGCGACATTTGGAAAAAAAATCAAGTCCAGATATGAACAGAACCCCCCTTCTAAATCGGTAAAAAATATCGAATTTTTCGTTTCTGATAGGAGTAATTTTGAGTGAAAGAGATTGAGAAAATGTTAAGAAAAAGGACATTAAACGACCAGGATTCAAGGAAACAGATGGTGACGATTGACAATTCTCAGGGAAGCTACGTTAAGACGGTGGGAAAGCGACTGAAGCCAAAATATCAGGTCAGGATCGATGACATTGCAGATTCTTTGAAGTATGTCAAGAACAGCTAGATATATGGCAGAAGCATTAAACCAGATGTCGCAGTAATATCCGATGCGCGGGCCAATAATAGATTTATATAGGAGCAAGACTATTTCTAAAAAACTGTCTATAATAACAAGATTTAATGCTTTGGCTCACGAGGGTAAACTTTCTAATATTGCCATTGGGGTACATCACTAATAAAAATTATATGGGAATATTTGCGAAGAAAATTTTTAGGGGATTTACTTTATCTAATTTCCCATATTATAATTTCAAAAAGGAAGTAATTGAATTAAAACAAAATCATTTGCTGATCACAGCCATAAAAATTAATTTTTGAACGTTATAGAATTAATGGCAAGAATATTTACACACAGATAAATCCATCAAATAGCCAGCATGCAAAACAAAACTTAAAACATCCAGTTTTAGTGTATCATCATACATTTTCTGGAAGGTAACCAGATAGAAATTGGGAAAGAGAAACATTAGTAAAAACAAAAGCGTTGGGTGAGATGTTTGAAGCAAAAATTGTAATAAAGTTTGTATATTTCGCAGTTTTAAGAAAAATCATTCTTCAAAGAATTAAAAAAAATCCAATAACAAATAAAAAAGAACAATAATCATGTTCTTTGATTAGTATAACTAACAATTCTCATGCCAAAGAAATGAGCAATAACATTTGTATTAGAAACATACATCTAGTCTGTATTTTAGTTAGTGACAAGGGGAGACAAATGTTGAAGGAAAGCGGGAGAACAGGCAGGAGTCGAGAACACTATATTACTTTACCTGTTTTAGCATCGACTGCAAATTTTTCGAAACTTCCACTCTTCAGGAAAAAGGTGAAGCGGTTGTTCTTGCTTGTTCTGTCCATGTCTCGAGCTTGCAACTGACCAATTGTCGTACCAACTTTTGTATCTGGGTCCAAGACAAAGGAAAATTCATCGAGAAATTCGGGAGTATGGTCATTCAGATCCTCGATATTTATTTCCAATGGCGTTATTGTAACCAATTTTTTATTTCTGGCAACTAGCTGTAGAAATGTAAAAAGGAAAGAGAATAGAGTGAAATGTTAAAAAAAAAACCCCTTTTATCAGTAAAATCTTCTGAAGTCACGTTGTTTTCTTTTTTCAAACAGGGTATTCCTAGTGACTTAGAGAAATAGGCCGCAAAATATAACGAATATAAAACAAAACACTACAAGAATAAGCACCAAAAACAGTAAACAATAAAAAGAAGCACCCGATGTAAAAGTCACTCAAACACAGATAAGTGCAAAGAAAAAGAAAGAAAGAAAAATACCCTCAAACCACGACAAGAGCATGGGAGAAAAAAAAGAAAGCGACAAGAGAATGGGAAAAAAAAAAAAAAAAAGCGGAGAAAAAAAAAAAAAAAAGAAAGCGACAAGAGAATGGGAGAAAAAAAAAAAGAAGAAAGCGACAAGAGAATGGGAGAAAAAAAAAAAAAAGAAAGCGACAAGAGAATGGGAGAAAAAAAAAAAAGCGACAAGAGAATGAGAAAAAAAAAAAGAAAGCGACAAGAGAATGGGAGAAAAAAAAAAAAAAAACAAGAGAACGGAAGAAAAAAAAAAAGGAGAAAAAAAAAAAAAAAGAAAAAAAAAGCGACAAGAGAATGGAAAAAAAAAGCGACAAGAATAAAAAAAAAAAAAAAGCGACAAAGAGAATAGAAAAAAAAAAAAAAGAAAAGAAACAAGAGAATAGAAGAAAAAAAGAAAGCGACAAGAGAATAGAAGAAAAAAAGAAAGCGACAAGAGAATAGAAGAAAAAAAGAAAGCGACAAGAGAATAGAAGAAAAAAAAAGAAAAAAGAATAGAATAGAAAAAAAATGACAAGAGAATAGAAGAAAAAAAAAGCGACAAGAGAATGGACAAGAGAATAAAAAAAAAAAGAAAGCGACAAGAGAATGGGAGAAAAAAAAAAAAAAAGCGACAAGAGAATGGAAGAAAAAAAAAAGCGACAAGAGAATGGAAGAAAAAAAAAAAAAAAGCGACAAGAAAGAAGAAAAAAAAAAAAAAAAAAAGAAAGAAAAAAAAAAAAAAAAGCGACAAGAGAATGGAAGAAAAAAAAAAAAAAGCGACAAGAGAATGGAAGAAAAAAAAAAAGCGACAAGAGAATGGGAGAAAAAAAAAAGCGACAAGAGAATGGGACAAAAAAAAAAACGACAATGGGGAGAAAAAAAAAGCGACAAGAGAATGGGAGAAAAAAAAAATCGACAAGAGAATAGAAAAAAAAAAAATCGACAAGAAATAGAAAAAAAAAAAAAAAAAGAGAATGGAAGAAAAAAAAAAAAAGAAATCGACAAGAGAATGGAAGAAAAAAAAAAAAAAAAAAAGCGACAAGAGAATGGAAGAAAAAAAAAGAAAGCGACAAGAGAATGGAAGAAAAAAAAAAAAAAAGCGACAAGAGAATGGAAGAAAAAAAAAAAGAAAGCGACAAGAGAATGGAAGAAAAAAAAAAAGAAAGCGACAAGAGAATGGGAGAAAAAAAAGAAAGCGACAAGAGAATAGAAAAAAAAAAAAGAAAGCGACAAGAGAATAGAAGAAAAAAATAAAGCGACAAGAGAATAGAAGAAAAAAAAGAAAGCGACAAGAGAATGGGAGAAAAAAAACCCCGACAAAAGCAAGGAAAAAAACCCCTTAAAACCCGACAAGAGCAAAGAAAAAAAAACCCTGAAACCCTGACAAGAGCAAAGAAAAAAAAAACTCCTCAAACTCCGACAAGAGCAAGGGGAAAAAAACCCCTCAAAATCGGACAAAAGCAAGGAAAAACAATTATTATAGAAGATTATAGAAAATTACAACCAAATTGTAAAATAGAAACAAATGTACACGACATTACCGCATAGAAGTACGTACGTAAATCGTACAAGGAGAAAAAAAAAAAAAGAACTGTCTCGAGAAAGTTATAATGAAGATAAAGTTTATTTAATTATAAGCGATGTAAATTAACATATAGTATCGGCGTTGCGAAATCTTAAAATATTGGTTCTAATTTAACACAGAGAAATGAAAATAATTTATTACATAACATCGAGCAACTTTAATCATTGATCAATGAATAGCAAAACACTTCATTTCTTGATTAATGCAATCAAAATCAAGTCTGGGCGGAATAATAAATATTAGTTGGACTCTACAATTTTTATTTACAAGATTATGAAAATATATGAATCAAACACAATGTGATATTTATTATTTAATTCTTATAATTCCTTTCGACTAAAAGGGTAAATCAGAAGTCGGTCCAGCACAGTAAGTGTTACGAAACACTGCCTAGTCTCGCGACCTAAATTCAGTCAGGGATCAATTAATAATGAGAGAAGAAAGCCCGTGGAACGACTGTTCTCAAAGTCCTCTCTCTCAAAAAAAAAAAAAAAAAAAAAAGGATGAGGAGAAGGGAGGGCATTAAACCTGCACATCCCACCTGTTCTAGCAAAAAGATTACTAAAACCACTGCTCGGAGCGGCCTGGCTTTGAAAAACAAGCCATGGCAACCCTCCCCCACCACGTATGACCTCAATCAAAAACACGTAGGTAATTTCACTTATTTTTCTACAATTTAAAAAGAAATTTTTATTAAAAAATTTAAGAATAATTACAAGATTATCAAAATATATAAACCAGCTACAATGCAATATTTGTTGTAAAAAGTACAGCCTTTCTGTAATTATAAACAAGGAACACTTTGTCCACTCAATAAATAGGGAGATACACAATCAAATTATTGAGTGTTTGGGGTCTCGCCGAAAATCTAAAATTAAAAAAAAATGTTTGGTTCAGTGGAAGATATCCAGTTGAACTATGTTAGTGTATTTATGTGGCGAGAACAAATTAAAAAAATCTTCCGTAAAATTCATTTTTTCAAAATGTATAATTAGTTATTTATTGTTACGTGTTTATTTAATTTTTTCGTTCAGACATTTTTGTAAATCTATTGATAAAAAAACGAATTTATTTTCTTTATAAAATGGTAAAGAATAAATAACAGCGTTAATATTTTTGAATAAAGAAAATGTATAAATCCACTTTCATGTGTTTGGGTTTTATTAAAATTCTAATGATTTTTTTTTTTTTAAAACAAATGAAGTCAGAAGTGTATATTGTAATAGCGGTGTCAAAGGAATAATCGGTCTTTTGAAACCGATATTTTGTGGGAAAGAAGGTTAAGCATTACAGAAATGATTTTAATATTCTGAATGTCAAAAACTTTCTTCGGTGAATTAGAATCAAGAAAATCAACGGGGAGCCAGTCTAATATCTTTTCTCAAGTAGTCATAGAAATTCATACTTATAAAAGAAAATGAAGCTGAGGAGAGTTATTACCGTCTACGTCTGGAAAGGACAAAACATTAAAAAATAAAAAACAAGCATGCAAACATTTGCCATTAATGCTCAGTGATTTTCTTATCGTTAAAATAAAAAAAAAAAAAATGTCGTGAATAAAATAGCAACTGGTTTACAATAATGTAGATGAGACATTGAAAGAAGCCTACGTACCAAAAGGAAAGGAAAAAGCAGAATCTATTTATGGGGTAAAACCCAGTTTTGAGACAAAGCTACTAATAACAAAAAAACAACGAAACAAAAAAACAAAACAAAAAAACAACGAAACAAAAAAAACAAAAAACACAACGAAACAAAAAAACAAAACAACGAAACAAAAAAACAACGAAACAAAAAAAAACAAAAAAAACAAAAAACACAACGAAACAAAACAAAACAAAACAAAAACAAAACGAAACAAAAAAAAACAACGAAACAAAACAAAAAAACAAAACGAAACAAAAAAAACAAAACAAAACGAAACAAAAAAAAAAAAAACAAAAAAAAAACAAACAACGAAACAAAAACACCAACTCAAAAACACCACCACCAAAAAAAATCAAAAACAAAAAAAAAAATCAAAAAACAAAAAAAAAAAAAAACAACAAAAAAAAAAAAAAAAAAAAAAAAAAAAAAAAAAACAAAAAAAAAAAAAATCAAAAACAAAAAAAAAAAATCAAAAAAAAAAAAAAAAAAAAAAAAAAAAAAAACAACAACGAAACAAAAACACCAACTCAAAAACACCACCACCAAAAAAATCAAAAACAAAAAAAAAAATCAAAAACAAAAAAAAAAATCAAAAAAAAAAAAAAAAAAATCAAAAACAAAAAAAAAAAAATCAAAAAAAAAAAAAAAAATCAAAAACAAAAAAAAAATCAAAAAAAAATCAAAAACAAAAAAAATCAAAAACAAAAAAATCAAAAACAAAAAAAAATCAAAAACAAAAAAATCAAAAAATCAAAAACAAAAAAAAATCGAACACAAAAAAAACACAAACACACAAAAAAAAAACTAAAACAAAAAAACAAAAACAAGAATAAAAAAACAAAAAAAAAACAAACTGTGACGAACTATTGCTCGTTGGTAGCTACAGTAGTAATTTTCATATACAGACAACAGCACAGTTTAGGAGCATATCGCTTCTTGTATGAATTCTTTGACATGGGGAATCAGTTTAAATGATGTTACAAAGCCAGTAAACAAGGAAAACGTATTTGTCCTTTTTTCTGGATATAAGAAAAAAGACGTCAATGTATAGCTTGTTCGCATCCATACGATTTTTATGTAAAAAAAAATAATAAGTCAGTGAAAAAGCGCTTTAAAAAAAGTCACGAACTCTTCTCTATCGAGAAGATAGGTTTAAACATAGTATCACAAAAAATAAAAAATATCTTGAAGCAATGTAATGGTTTTCGTCTTTTGTGGGTTAATTTCACAAGCCAGTTCGAATCATTTTAATTGCTTTATGTTACATTTCCTTTAATCCAACAAATGTCTATCTTGAGACGAAAGAACTAGTGTGGTATTGTTGAGATATATAAGGAAGACACGTGACTTTAATGAAAAGAGAATATATAAAGGCTTATTCTGGCACTGAAGTGAGAAAAGGCCGTAGGTCTGGGAGAAAAAATCATTTTGATTTCTCTCTCAATTCGAAAATTAACCAATGACATTAGTGATCAATATAAAAACTATCTCAGCCATCAAGCAAGTTTAGATGAAGTCCAAGATTAAAATAAATGAGATTATTTGAGAATAATTATGTATTTTTGTATTTATAAAAAAGTTTCATGGAATCATTTTTAATTATATTGCTACATTTACGTTAAATAATAAATTATAAAAAATAATTTTTATGGTATTTTTCAGTAAAAAGTAAATATTTGGACTTCCCGCCGAGTAATTATGCTTTCAAAATGAACAATGGGAAGCATTATCGGTTTTGATATATTCTGTGTCTATCTCAGCGCTTGGGTGTAATGATTGCTAAAATAATCGGGCTAAGGAAAAACCGAAGCATTTGGGTAAAAATGAAATGTTTACTGCAAGAGACAAACAAGAACCAGAGGCAATGTAGTCAAGGATACTCTTTTTCACAGACGCACAAATAAAACTTTGTAGAGATCAATGTTTTTCTGTCTCCAACCGAGTAAAACTATATAACATATTTCATTTTTAAAATCTTTTCTCAACTTCTGAACTCAGAGAGGCGAGGTTAGTTCTATAATAATAATTCCTCAATGTTTTACGCAAATTGATTATAAGAGAAAAGTTTGGGGCTGGATATAGTAATTACTAAATTTCAGAAGTGGCAATTTCTTTGCTGTTATGCCACAAAATTGCCGTTCTTGAATAGAATTGTTACAGCAGATATACAAAAATAGAAAGATGTGCAAGACAAGGATGCATCTTCTCACCGGACTTATTTAACCTCTACGGCGAGGCCATTCTGAGAGAATTAGAAGTTCTGCCAGGATTCATTATTGGTGGTCACAATCTTAACGACATAAGATATGAAGATGACAGAGTGCTGAGAGCAGACACGGAAAGAAAACAACAAAAGCTCCATCATACGAAAGCGAGAAGAAAGGACTAAACAACAACTGTAAGACAAACAGACTGCATGGTTGTTAGCAAGAGGATGAGCCTGAAATGCAAATTACTAAAAACCGAATATACGTAAATCAAGCAAGTACAAAAATTTAAATATCCGAGAAGTGTTCGAACATAGGATGAAGAGTGCAAAACAGATCCGAAGACATATTGGGATGGCCAAAGATGCATTCCAAAAGCTAAGGAGAATATTAAGAGACAGAAAAATTTCGTTAGAAACAAAGAAAAGAGTACTGTTACGTGATATCAGTCCATGGACTATCTTAAAGATGAAGAACAAACTTGAAGCAACAAATGTGGTTCTACAGAAGCATGTTGAGGATACCATGGACCGAAAATGTGAGCAACGATGAAGTTTAGAGAAAATGGAAACAAAAAAGGAAACTTATACTTAATATCAGGAAAAGAGAGTTGAAATTTTTGGGGCACGTAATGAGGAAAGAGGGTTTGAAAAATCTGATACTCTCAGTTTTTCGTCTTAGACTGGCTGTTATTCAAAGCAAAGAGAGATCAGGCAACCCAACTACTTAACCAAAAAGTGGCACTTGCGCAAAAGAGAATGCAACCAATTAGCTCGGAATCTGAAATCGGACCGTCGAGTCCTTTCGTTACTGATACCATTTAGACTACCTACATATCACTTGCTTTGGAGAGACGACTTATAACAGAAACCTTTTCTTTTTTTTTTTTTTACAATGTTCAGAAATGAATATTCATACAAATATTATATGCAATAAACCTCTTATTGAGAAATGTAATATGTCAATATGTTGTCATTAAGTTATACGAGAGGGTGCTAAAAATCTCACGGCCCGACAAAGAATATTTCCAAAAATAATTTGAAAGAATGGTTCGAGAAATGTTTAGTGCCTCGTTGTATGTTTTTAATCACTATAACTTATAATTGTCTACTTCAAAATTAGAGGGTAAAAAATTACCTGAAGAGAATAGAAACTTTCATGTTCGCAATCAAGATGGTGACCATATTTCACGGCTATTTCTGCTGTATGGGAATTTATTTGAAAAAATTCACTTCCATGTCCTTTAAGAATAAATGTTGTCTCTCGATTTTCCAGACTTACATCCTCATCTTTGACTTTTATAGCCGGGACCTGAAAAAGAATTAAAAATGTTAAAATAAGAGCTATTTAATCAGAATGGAAGCCAGAAGAAGGTATATACGCCAGCTCTAAATGAAAAAGTTTGTTTTATAGAGAAGATAAAAAATAAACAAACAAAAAACAAAAAAAAAACAAATAAAAACAAAATTGAAATTTATATAAAAACAGTTTGATCAGAAAGTAACATTCTTTGGTTTCTTTTGAATAATTTAAGGAAAGCTGAAACCTGATTTAACTAGAAAATTATTAATTCAAATGATTTCCATTGTATTGAAAATAATGCCCATTAAATACCTTAAAATATTGCTAGCTATGTATATGTTCTGTTACCACCACACGGAACCTGTATTGTTTTAATTTCCCTTTATTTGTCCCCTTTTTAGTTTGGATAAATTTTTAGCTCTTATTACCGAAGCCGGCACAGTAAAGTACGGGCTTAAGCACGCAGTCCGTATTTTTCTTATCCTGCAAAATTATTCACTCTACGATAGCATCGCCGGTATGTACATTTTAAAACCTACCCTCTCAGCATTAGTCGCCTTTAGTATCATATCAATATTTGAACATTTGTTTAAAAGGTAGCCAACTTTGTATACAATTATTTTACGTTTGTAACTCTCCATGTAGTATCCTTTATACAACGTGTTCACGATTTACACTGTTCCCAAACAATAAATTCGGTAACTTTCTTCCTTTCTGGAAAGTCATCAATGTAATATATATATATATATATATATATATAAGCAAAGTGTTTGCTCTCTTACACATTTAAACTAACGGCCTCAGTTATGTTCAAGCCTCCGGCTGCCTTTGTCGTATTCCTTTTTACCCTATTTATTTTTCACTTAGACTTAACCGTTCTCATATTTGTATTTATTTTTCTAGTTTTAGCCTTTTGGCATTTACTAAACTTACTAAACCTAATGAACAGGATTACGTCTTCAACGTTTTAATTGCCTTAAGGCGTTTATCTGGCTGTCTTGAGCCACGGATGCGTAAATAGGAGGTAAAACGGTCGATTTCTTAAATCGAGTTTTGGGACATTCTGTATTACTATAAATTGACAAATATCTGAGAACTGTAGTTAAATGCAACAAAGTTAGAAGAAATTTTCAGAGTATAGAATAATGAAAACGTTAGAACGTCAAAAAGCAATTTTTAATACAGGGTTGATGACAAGTTATGAAATACACTTGTCAGATTGTAATACATTTTACTCCAACCCAGGTGATGTGAACATTACACTGCGTTCAGTGCCATAGTAATATTTAACCAATCACCGAAAAGCCATAATATACAGTCAGAGGTGAAAATAATCTACAAAATGCGGTAATAAGCAAATACATTTTTACTGAAGCAAATTTTATTTATACGGTTTTACGCAATTTTTATTTTTAAAGACGGATTTGTAATATTTTCTTTTTCTTATTATTTTACTTAATTATTTCCCAGAGTCAGTTTTTTCACTTTTAGCTTAGTAAGCTTCTTTGAATAGCCCGTCACTGGCACCCAGTGTCGCCAGTACAAAAGCTAACTAGTAGAGTATAAAACAAGCGAAAACCTTTACAAAACAAAACATGCGTTACCAGGAAACAAAAAAAAAAAGAAAAAAAAATTCTTCTAGCTTTACCCCTCTTGTCGCTACTGCTCGTGCAAATGCTCCTTTTGGAGGCTACATTTCTACTGCTTCCACAACCACCACGACTGAATCCCATCTCGAACACCAACTATTTTAATTCTGCCATGGAATCTTATTTCGCTGGTTCTTCTTGAATAACTATACACAGACTGTCAGGTAGTTCCATCATTACAGCCTTAACTTTATTGTATAGTTTTTCAAGATCATTTATATATTTTTGTCAGAATTCCCGGAATGAGGAGTTATGATTTACTAATGTCCAGAAAGAGAGAGAGAGAGGAAAAAAAGGAACGATGTATTTTCAGTCTTATAAATTCTGAGGTGGGAAACTAGTAAAATTTGTTTTTTTTTGTTAAAAATTCGTTCCTGTACTACAAGTTGGTAACCATCTCCAACATTTTGCTTGGTTGAAGTGTTTTATTTTCCTTTCTCAGCATTCACCCAATAAAAATTAATTTAAAAATGATTCAGACTTCGAATCACAGATTCGTTTTTTTCGTATCGCCTGGAAATACCACGAAACGAATTACGATGTCGTTTTTTTAATTTTTTTTAATCTTCCGTTCTCTAAACTGCATTTCATGTTTAAATAAATCGATTATATTAATATAGGTACCTCCACGAGATCGCTAAAAAAAGAGCATAGCATGATGAAAAAGACGCCAAACTTGACGAAAACAAAATTTTATCGCCTAAATGTTTGTTATTATTAAGAGGAAAGGTCAAAGTATTTTTGGGGTATTTTTTCCATTTTTAATCGTTCCTAGCACGTCCGAAATTTTCGTTAAAATCTAGTTTTTTTTTTAGAGTCAGCAAAATTGACCATTTTTTTCCATTTTAAAAAAACTGGAAATCTGACTTTGAATTTTTTTAATATCAATTATCATTTTTTCAAAACTTATTTTAAGAAAATCAGAAATTATAATGTTTATTTAAAATATTTTGAACCAAACTTAACTTAGCTTTTGTGCCAAAAAGATGTAATTTGAAAATAAAACAAAGCAGGTCATAAACTTTCGCGTCTCTTGACATGTGATGAATGATATATTACGAATTCCATGAGGCTAATTTGTTCTACGGAAGGAGAAAAGGGAAATAATTTACATTTACGTGAACAAATTATTTACCCCGTTATTTTTAACGAAAACTTTCAGCGGTCTCATTTTTTTTTTGTACTTAGCTTTCACCTTTACGTTTATGATGCTTTATGGGAAATATATTGTAAAGAAATTAAAATAAAACTGTTAAGAGTGACATTAAATTTCATATTTCTTAAGAAAGGTATCTAATTAATTTATAGGTACCTTTCTTATGAAATTTTAAAAAAATATTTCTACCATGACTTTCATAAAAAAAAACATTTATAATAATTTCGATCATCTGTGAATAGTTCCTGAAAGTTTCATTAACATCCGATAATTATTTCTATTTTTGCACGATTTTTCAAATTAATGTGTCATACCAAAAAAACGTGCTAAAAATTGTCTATGTTATTTACTAGTTCCGCTGATACAAATAGAAAAAAGGTTTTTTTAATCAAAATTTAGAATGTTCTAAAAAGGAAAATTTTTTAAAAATAATTAAAAAAAACTTTGGTCTTTCCTCTTAATAATAACATAAGCATTTAGACAATAAAATTTAGTTTTCGGCAAGGTTGGCGTCTTTTTCATCAAGCTATGCTCTTTTTTTAGCGATTTCGTGGAGGTACCTATATTAATAGCAATAATCGTGTTGATAAAATGTGTGATTAGGGAAAAATAAGTTTAAAATGGGTAATAAAATTTGACAGCAATTTAATAGAATTAGAAATATTTCCATAATTCAAGATAAAAATGTCATTTAATCAAAATTGAAATGGCGACCCTTTAAATTAAAAAAAAATGTACAAATTATTGATTAAAAATAAAAAAAGGAGAATACCTCAACTATTAATACCAAAAAAAAAAACAAAACAAAAACAACAACAACAACAGTGAGAAAGCTTTGAATCCTGTTGATTGAGTACGGCTCTTTGTTTAATGAATTTGATTGATTTCCAATCCCTGCTGTTTTGCATGATAAAACATGTTCATTTCAATAACCACTAAGTGGATGATTATTTGTCTCTTAAATCACTAGTATAGCGGGTTCCACTATCAATGATAGTCCAGCATTCCTATAAATAAACAATCCGTAGTTGTGAAGAGCAAACAAGGTGACGAGACAGTTTCTGCAACTCAAAGCAAAAACACAGACAGCTCGGGGGGAAAAAACGGATAAAAAAGAATCTGGATTTAATAACTTGAATAAACAGAAGTCAGTCCACAGGTTTGAATTATCTTATGTACACTACGATGGCCACTGAAAAGTTATAGGCTTGACCAAGAAGCCTTTAAATGTTTTTACATTTAGTCAGATTTTGGGAAGTAGGTCAGGCTGAGAACTATTCAGCACTCTTTCGTACACATCTTGTGAGCGCCCCCCTTTCTATTTATATATAATCTCATGAATAAAATAGACAAAAATGGTAATTTGACTTACAATTGGTAAGTATCCCTCGAAGCCTTCTGGTATACTAGTCTTGTAGCCGAAAGGTTCTTCAAAAACTGGTGGGTTGTCATTGACATCGGTTACCCGGACGGTCACTGTGGTCGTGGCAGTATGTTGTGGGATGCCATGATCTACCGCAGTCACCAGGAACTCGTACAGTTCACTAATTTCCGCATCGAGTACTCGAGCGACAAACAATTCTCCTTTTAATTTATCGATTACGAAAGTACCTAGAAAAATAATATCATGCAACAAGTTACAGGTAGTTAAAAAATTATGACAGTGGTTAATTAAAAACCTAATTTTGTTGTTGTTGTTAAGTTTATTGTAATGTTTCCTCAGTCTTCTGAGCAGGAGACCCGAGTTCGCATTTCCCCATAATCGATTTGCCAGGAAGCTGATTTCTTGATAATATCAGTCTAGGGGAGACGATAACATCGTGCGGAACCGTTGAAAAGTACCTGATAACCATAACAGAAAGGTTAACATGTGCCTGATAACCATAACAGAAAGGTTAACATGTGCCTGATAACCATAACAGAAAGGTTAACATGTGCCTGATAACCATAACAGAAAGGTTAACATGTGCCTGATAACCATAACAGAAAGGTTAACATGTGCCTGATAACCCCAGAAAGGTTAACATGTGCCTGATAACCATAACAGAAAGGTTAACATGTGCCTGATAACCATAACAGAAAGGTTAACATGTGCCTGATAACCATAACAGAAAGGTTAACATGTGCCTGATAACCATAACAGAAAGGTTAACATGTGCCTGATAACCATAACAGAAAGGTTAACATGTGCCTGATAACCATAACAGAAAGGTTAACATGTGCCTGATAACCATAACAGAAAGGTTAACATGTGCCTGATAACCATAACAGAAAGGTTAACATGTGCCTGATAACCATAACAGAAAAGGTTAACATGTGCCTGATAACCATAACAGAAAGGTTAACATGTGCCTGATAACCATAACAGAAAGGTTAACATGTGCCTGATAACCATAACAGAAAGGTTAACATGTGCCTGATAACCATAACAGAAAGGTTAACATGTGCCTGATAACCATAACAGAAAGGTTAACATGTGCCTGAAAGGTAACCCTGATAACATAACAGAAAGGTTAACATGTGCCTGATAACCATAACAGAAAGGTTAACATGTGCCTGATAACCATAACAGAAAGGTTAACATGTGCCTGATAACCATAACAGAAAGGTTAACATGTGCCTGATAACCATAACAGAAAGGTTAACATGCCTGATAACCATAACAGAAAGGTTAACATGTGCCTGATAACCATAACAGAAAAGGTTAACATGTGCCTGATAACCATAACAGAAAGGTTAACATAAACCAGAAAGGTTAACATGTGCCTGATAACCATAACAGAAAGGTTAACATGTGCCTGATAACCATAACAGAAAGGTTAACATGTGCCTGATAACCATAACAGAAAGGTTAACATGTGCCTGATAACCATAACAGAAAGGTTAACATGTGCCTGATAACCATAACAGAAAGGTTAACATGTGCCTGATAACCATAACAGAAAGGTTAACATGTGCCTGATAACCATAACAGAAAGGTTAACATGTGCCTGATAACCATAACAGAAAGGTTAACATGTGCCTGATAACCATAACAGAAAGGTTAACATGTGCCTGATAACCATAACAGAAAGGTTAACATGTGCCTGATAACCATAACAGAAAGGTTAACATGTGCCTGATAACCATAACAGAAAGGTTAACATGTGCCTGATAAGAAAGGTTAACATGTGCCTGATAACATGTGCCTGATAACCATAACAGAAAGGTTAACATGTGCCTGATAACCATAACAGAAAGGTTAACATGTGCCTGATAACCATAACAGAAAGGTTAACATGTGCCTGATAACCATAACAGAAAGGTTAACATGTGCCTGATAACCATAACAGAAAGGTTAACATGTGCCTGATAACCATAACAGAAAGGTTAACATGTGCCTGATAACCATAACAGAAAGGTTAACATGCCTGATAACCATGAAAGGTTAACATGTGCCTGATAACCATAACAGAAAGGTTAACATGTGCCTGATAACCATAACAGAAAGGTTAACATGTGCCTGATAACCATAACAGAAAGGTTAACATGTGCCTGATAACCATAACAGAAAGGTTAACATGTGCCTGATAACCATAACAGAAAAGGTGCCTGATAACCATAACAGAAAGGTTAACATGTGCCTGATAACCATAACAGAAAGGTTAACATGTGCCTGATAACCATAACAGAAAGGTTAACATGTGCCTGATAACCATAACAGAAAGGTTAACATGTGCCTGATAACCATAACAGAAAGGTTAACATGTGCCTGATAACCATAACATTAACATGTCATAACCAACAGAAAGGTTAACATGTGCCTGATAACCATATTAACATAACAGCGACGGATTATGTGCTATTAGTCGAAAAAGAAAATCAAAATAGAGTCTACTTTGGTGTAGGCTCAAATATGGTCATTTTTTGCGCCTGCCTTCCAGTCTTAACCAATCACAGCCTTTCTTACTCCAATAAAAGAACGTTACTGTGGACGAATGGAGTTAACCTCATTCACATATTTTCGTTGTACATAATTATTTAAAATCATGTTTTTTTTTTTTTCTTTTGACGTAAATAAAATACCTCATTCTCTCCCCCACCAAACTGTAAATATGGGGTATTCGTTTAGAAATTCATGGGGAGCTAGTGTTATGGTGATTCCAGTAAGCATGTGTTCGTATAAGGGTGGTATTATGTTGTTATAGGTACCTCCACGAAATCGCTCAAAAAAATAGCATAGCTTGATGAAAAAGACGTCAATCTTGCCGAAAAAAAAATTTATCGTCTAAATGCTTACGTTATTATTAAGAGGAAAGACCAAAGCTATTTTTTTTAAAATTATATTTTAAAATTTTTCCCTCTTTTTAGAACATTCTAAATTTTGATTAAAATAACCTTGTTTCTCTTTGTATCACCGGAACTAGTAAAATAACAGACACTTTTTAGCACGTTTTATTGGTATGACACAAATTAATTTGGAAAATCTTGCAAAAATAAAAATAATTGTCAGATGTTAATGAAACTTTCAGGAACTATTCACAGATGATCGAAATTATTATAAATGTTTTTTTTTATTAAAGTCATAGCAGAATTTTTTTTTATATTTATTACCCCCTCCCCCATAACTAATTTTATGAAAACGCTAGAAATTCGATCGCATCGGTTTTAGTGATTACAATAGTTAAAAGCACAAAGCTTTGAGGAATGCAAATCAGCTCTGAATTGTAACATACAAAACTCAATAAAACAAAGATATTTAATTTCAAATGCTTTTAGTTGTTTTTATGAATATGGACAATATTCTCTGAAAGCAAAAAAAAAATTTTCCGAAGAAAAACAAATTTTTAATACAATTATTTGTTATTTCTTAATTATAATAAATTTTTAAATTTAACTGTTAAAATATAAAATTATTTAAAAGCTGCATTAGGTTTCCTAAGTGTTATTATGAGATAGATCTTTTTTTAGCGCGTTGTAAATTGTATCATTTTGACTAACCAGAAGATCCGCAGTAATTAAGAAATATAATTTTGTGTTTATAATCGGGCTGTAATTATAAAGTACGGAAGACCAACCAGAATATAATTAAGTTGCGTTATTTGAGGTAAGCATTGTTCTCCGCTGTTAAGACCTTTACTTTTGCGAAACACGTGTGGAGAAGTTAATTTGATTTTTCAATTTCAACTGAGAAGGGTACCTACAAGTATCAGTATCATCTTATGAAATTTATATGATCTTATTTTAATCTCAGTTATGACATTTTTCCATAAATGAAATATCAAAATTAATAATAAAATGAATGGGAATACAAATAACAGTAAAATGTAATAAATGTACATAAAATTATAGTATTTTATGTACACTTCTGATAAGATTTCATAAGAAAGGTACCTATAAATTAATTAGATACCTTTCTTATGAAATATAAAATTTAATGTCACTCGTAACAGTCTTATTTTAATTTCTTTATAATATATTTTCCATGAAGCATCGTAAACGTAAAGGTGAAAGCTAAGTACAAAAAAAAAAAAAAAAAATTAGAGCGCTGAAAGTTTTCCTTAGTAATAACGAGGTAAATAATTTGTTGACTTAAATGTAAATTATTTCACTTTTCTCCTTCCGTAGAACAAATTATCCTCACAGAATCCGTCAATATGTCATTCATCACGTGTCAAGTGACGCGAAAGTTTATGACCTGCTTTGTTTAAGTTAAGCTTCGTTCAAATTATTTTAAATAAACATTATAATTTCTGATTTTCTTAAAATAAGTTTTGAAAAAATAATTGATATTTAAAAGAATTTTAAAGGAGATTTTCATTTTTTTATAAAATGGAAAAAAAAAATGTCAATTTCGATGACTTTAAAAAAAAACAAGGTTTTTAACGAAAATTTCGGCCGTGCTAGGAACGATTAAAAAATGTAAAAAATACCCCCAAAATACTTTGATTTTTCCTCTTAATAATAACAAACATTTAGACGATAAAATTTTGTTTTCGTCAAGTTTAGCGTCTTTTTCATCATGCTATGCTCTTTTTTTAGCGATCTCGTGGAGGTACCTATGTTAGGAATATTAAAGTGTATTCGGATCAGTGAATTCAACTACCTAAGTTAGTCAACAGTGACGACCAACCTTCCCCATTTTGTATTTTTAGTACAAATAAATACTGACCCCGTTCTTTGATGTAGGTCAACTATTTGACTTGCTTCTTTACCATGTTGGAGGTAATTTTATCCCAGTTTTCGGATTATTTTCTAATGTTGTGAATTTACGCTGAAGAACGTTGTCGAGCGACGTTCCTTGTTTTCACTAATTAAAAAAAAAATAATTTCAGTCTTTGATTCATTTTATTTTTCTCCTCTCGTCTTTAGCCAAATTTATACCAATTTTTACTTTTGGGTGTGATTCTGTTACACTAGAATTTGTTTTCTCTTAATTTGTAAATTTCGTCCACCAAGTTTGTTTTATCTTGGTTCGTTTTCCCAGTGTTTATAGTTCCTTAATTTACCAAAAAGACAAATTACTTTAGCCTCCAAAATAGTTAGTTATTGTGTGTTGGAAAAATTTTACAGGATGGTCGACAAGAAAAACCATCTGGTAAAGTCGATACGCTGATCAATTTAGATAAGTCCAAGGCATTTGATAAAACTGACCATCTTTTTCTCGAGGCTGTTCTCGCGCCGGTAGGCTTTTGTAAACACTTTCACTCCTGGATTCATATTTTTATAGGGTCATCTGGTGCAATGGCAGTAGTGAACGGAGTAAGTCCGAAACCTTTAATTTTGTCCAAATCCATTCGTCAAGATTGTTCGATCCAGCTGATAACCTACAAGTTTGCGTTGGAGGCACGTTAAAAGTGAATACGGAATTACTCTACCGGTTGCTAACAACTCAACCAGCTATGCCGACATGACAATACTTG